AACCAGCCCGTCTGCTCTCAGAATGGTCAGTGCGATCGTTGCCTGTCAGCTGAGTGATGCTCAAAGTTTTCTATTGGAAAATCAGGCAAAAAATATTTTGGAGATCACAGAGGTAGATGGGCCAGGGCGAGCACACTCTCAATACATGCAAAAAAAGAAAAATAGTAGAACAGAGTTTGATAGAACTGTGGAATATTTTTTCTGGTATTCTGTAATGCCCTGTGATATTTGTATTCCTGAAATGTTCATTGGCAATGAGTTATCATCCTGCCTATTTACAGCACAGCATATTGGTTACTGATACAGTACCCTCTCTGTACCCAGGGATGTTTGTTACCATGAATTTAATAGTAATTTCTTGCATAGATGTTCATTTTAAATCATTAGTAATTTCATAAACTTTCTGTGTTCACATTGAGGTTCTAATAAATTCTAATTTTGTACTGTACAATTATTTTATAGTAATTATTAATGTCAGCTTTTATTTGTACTGTCCTAATTTCTGTCTGCTGCCTGTTATACTACAAGATTTTTTTCCCCTTCCTCTGTAGTTGGATGCACTCTCCTATGACTATATCCGACTTTTTTTTTTTTAAACCTCTATCTTGTTAAATCACGTCTTGTGTTTATACATAATAATAACTGGTTAATAATAATTAACTGTGTTAATAATAATAACTGGTCGCAAAGCCAGACCTGCTCTTGAATTCACAGTGTCACGTTGATGATAATTTGGCAGAGAGGAACCGATAAGTACTAAGTAATACACTGAGTAAAATTCCCATTTTTCAAGCCTACTTTCTTAGTATACATTAGAGACCTCTCTAGGTCTCTAGAGTATCACTGAGGAACTGTTGCCTCAGTAGTTGGCATTCTGTCTTTAAAAATATGTAACCAAAAGGTGACTTTTTTGGACTGTATGCTGACAATGATACTTTCACTGCATTTTTCTTGGCTTTGTCCTTAAAAGTATTTTTGATCTTTGAATGAAATGGGATTTTCAGGCTTCAGTTTTCTGTATTCTTTACATCTTGTTGACTCTGTTTTGTAATTTTTTTTTGCTAAAGCTGCTTATTCATAACAATCAAAAATACCTGATGGACTAGCTGCTTTCTTTTTCTCTTACAAATAATTATCTTCATCTGTCCTGTACATTTTTCAAAACTAGAAAGTACACCCATCTCTGCAGGACAGGTTGAAATTTGCCCTGCTGAGTGGTTTAGGAAGGCTGGAGTCTCTTGGACAGAATAGAAAAACGATGACAAAAAAAGTCTGAACTAGCAGAACCGACAGTGCTGTAAGGTGCATTGTAAACTTTTAAGGATTTGGGTATGCCTTGTTTTCCTGGTAACCTGAGATTGTTTCAGAGGACTCATGAGGCATTCCTTTGCCTTACAGTCTGCTTCATTTCTGTGTTGTGCATTAATATAATCTCTGGGTCTTTCTGGAAATAAGTAAAGCAGAATCTGAGGAAGACTTTGCAACAAAATTCAAGAAGGATGTTTTGTAAGTATGGGCTGGTTTCCATGGGGAAGAGTCAGTATTCAAACTGAAGTCTGATGCTACTGTTTATTACAGTAGCATCTAGTAGATACTAGAACATTGCTTTGTTATGGAACATATAATGAATTTTCTGTTGCTTTTTCTTTTGCCTTTGTTCCTTTTGTTTCATGCACTCGGTAATATAACTTATATATGACCGATGTTGAAATACATAGGATAGAGTGATTTTATTTTGAAGGGGATGAGTGCCTTCCTTCATTGCTTTTGTTGCCAGATGTATGTCAGTGTTGTGATACCACTGCACAAAGTTGAATTCACATTGGTAGGTTTTGGCAAGACATTTTTCAGACAACCAGCAGTGGCAACAGTGAAGAAAACCAAACTCTTTATATGTCTGTGAAGGGCAAACTTAGTGTCAGATCCTCATTCAGAAATTGGTTGTAGCTCCAGGTTCTAATGTTGCCTCTGGCCTGGGTTTGTAGTTTTCAGAATAATTTAGATATGCATGCTGATTTTAAAGAACTTTGGAAAATTGCCACTTGAATCAGTCACTTCAGGCTGCTTATTGAAAGGATTATCTGGAAGATATTTTCTTCTTCATAGATTTTTGCACTGCCGTTTTCCCCGCACAGTCAGGTCAGGGGTTTTGTTTGATTTGGGTTTGTTTGGTTGAATTTTTTGTTTTGTTTTGGGTTTGTTAGTTTGGAGTCTTGTTTCTTTTCTTTCCCTCCTTAGATTTTCAAATTTTGTCCTGGTTGTACTCCTTCGTCTTCATAGTTGTCTTCCTTTTGTCTCAGTCTCCGTGATTAGAGATGGTAGGAATTCCAACAAGGCATAGCTCTGAGGCACCCTTTTTTGCTGTTGCTCGCTGGTGTGCTATGACAGCCTTTGCCATAAAAGCCCCTCAGCTGTGGTTGGGAGAGTGGTGAGCCTGCATTCCTATCTGGGATTGGTCAGTGTGAAGAAGGAAGTCTCGGCTTCCCTTTTCCCCTGCTCACAGAGTGGTGGGTAAGAAGGATTTGAGAGAATGAGGGAGAAGAAAGATGACAAGAGGTAATGTTTCTTCTTACATGTGTGCTGTTATCTCATAGGATACTACCTCTGAATTACTGAAAACAAGAGGTCCATTCTGAGACAGGGTTTGTTTAAACTGTAATGTTCATGTAGAGAAGTGCTGACCCTTCAGGGCAACAAGAGGTAAAAGAATATTCCAATTAATTTGTCTCACTTATTGTGGTCTTTTCTTCCTAATATGTACACCTGCTGCTCCAATACTCTTTTTTTTCCTACTTTGAAATCATGTGGGTATAAGCTTGCTTTTATTTTTTTGTTACTCCGTACTGTGTAATCTTGTAAGGGTTGTGCATGGAGTGTGTTAGGGGTCACTAGATGTGCATGCTTCAGGGGGAAAGAGAAGACCAGATCTCACAGAACTTTGAAATTACAGTGGAATTCATTATGGGCAATGGCCTTTAAAAATGCTTAGGAAAAGTACAGATAGTTGCCTTCCTTTTGGTACACCTTGCTCCCATTTTCTTTGCCCAGGGTCAGTATTTGGGTATTGTGCCATTTTCCCAGCAGGTTGAGTCCTTGATTTCCGTTGATTTCAGTAGTTGTTGTGTGCATCGTGAATCAGATACACAAGGCAAAGGCCCAGTCTGCAATTACTGCTGCTCCTTGGCAGGAGTTTATTCAATCTGTTCCTCTTGGCTAGACCTCTTATCCTGGCTTTGTGGTCTTATTTACATTGTGATGGCAGAGTTATTTCCACTCCAAAGCGCTGTAGTGATATTGTCTAAATGATTCAGGGCAATATATAGCTAGGGATCTGTGGAGACCTGAACTTAATTTAAATTCTGCAAGAACTATCTGTTATTTTCAGTCTTTATTATTATTGTTATTTTAATTAATAGAAGATGTAGACTTTTTGGATTGAGGGTTGAAACTTCTGTTCTTTTCTTGAGAAATACTGTTTGGTCTTCTGAGCCATCATGTGAATGCCCTACTCCTGGACCTCATATGTAAATATTTTCCATCATATTTGATACCGTTCATGGGTTGTGTAGATGCATAATGATGTGGGTGCAGTTTATGCTTTAAAGTCTGAGTGCAGAGCCATGGATTTGGCAAAGAGCTAGGGAAAAGTGTGTGTTTAGGGAGGATCTGTTTCAGGAAATCTTAAATCACACAATTCCAAATATTCGTGCTGTAGAATGTAAGTTTTTATTGTTTGCTCTCTTATTTTTTTGTACTTAAGATAAATTTGTCTCTTAAAACAGTTTTTTGGGGGATAAGCACGTTCCTTGAACAAAGTACATCCCACTGAATTTCCGGTGGGAATTCAAATTATTGTTTGTTTACTGTCTATCCATGTGCATGGTCGTATCCCACAGTGGAGGTGAAGTAAGCTGTTCCTCATTCAGTGATTTGTGATTGCCACTCGCATTAGTGCACCCAAAAGTAAAAGTAAGGCTTTATGTACTGACATTTACTATAGGGCATTTTACACACAGGAACTTGTTACTTTACAGCAGTTTTGGTGTCCAAGTCCTAATGTTGCCCCTGCCTTGGGTTAATCATTTTCAGAATGTTGATTTTAGAGTGCTTCAAAAATTTGCCACTCGAATCAGGCACGTGTGCCTACCGGTTGAGAGGATTATCTGAATAGCGAATGTGAAGGGTAAGCGACAAGCCCTGCTGGCAGTGACACTTGTGTTTGCAGCAGACCGTGGTATGTTGGCATAAGGGTGCTTGAACGAGTCAGGGGAGGCAATGAAAAAATGCTTTGGAGGCGGAGTTGTTTAGAGGAGAGCTTAGCAGCATGAGAAATTCGATCTCAATATTCTGATAGAAACAGAGACCTACGTGCCACTGTAGAAAGTCTGGTGAGGAACTCTATTAAATGTGTAACTTCAGTCTGAAAAGTGCTCATGTCAGGTAATGTATGGGGAAGAACAGGGAGTAGCAGGGGAAAACAACTATTATGTAAGATGAGTGGCTTTATCCAGACTATGTTGAATGGTAGAAGTCATTCAAGAAAGTATTAAATAATTGGAGTAGTTTCAGAGATGGGTATAAAATGAGAAATACAAGGTATGTGCATGTAAAGAGGCTGAAAAGATGGGATGAGTTTGAGGGGTAAAAATTAAGAAGAGAATGACACATGTAAATATATGTGCATGTACATATATGATGAATCTGGACCATCTGCTGTCACTGTCTTAGAATAAGAGGGAAATATTAAGTGAGATTCTTACCAAGTTTTCTTTTAAAACTGTGCTGAAGTCAGTTACTGGGCATTTAAATGTATGCATTTAAAGTAAAATGGAAATGAATTCTCTATTCTTCCCTAACAGTTGCTTCAAGTTAGGTTTAAAAATATATTTCTGTTTTAAACACATGTTACTTGAAGCCCTCAACTTCAACCACTCCATAAGAAAATGAAGGTCTCTTCACTTTGTTTTGTTTAAATCTTTTTTTTTTCTTCCCTGTTACAGAGCTCCCTGAAGATGTGTGGCTCATACTGCTTCAGACTGTCTGGACATTTGTTGTTTAACTGCTGAAGCTTTCCTACCACTTGTTTCTTTCTTGAAACCTTAATCTATTGAGGGATCAGAATTGGCTGCTATGGTAAGACATTTTTTCAAGTTGTAGTAAAATGCTAAATGTGGGTGCAATATGCCAGTTTATTTTGGTTTTATTTCTTTATTCAGTAGCAAGACACCAAAACAAACAAAAACTCTTAATGGTGTACAAAATCAGAAGAGGAGACTTTGAAATAACTAACCAGCCAAGAAATTTTATGTTTCGTGTTGTCTCTTTATACTTGCCCTGTGCTTCTAAGTGAAGAATAAGAATCATGTGAATCATTTTACAAGATCTTTTTCTTGTCTGTAGATGTACGTGTATAACTTATCAAAATGTTGTCTATAAATGTTTTACAAGTCTCTTCTAGATACTGCATTTTGTATGAAATGTATTTCGGTTTAATGGCAGTTTAAATTACAGTATTTAAAATACTTAAGGTGATTTGTAGAAGCATAGAAGTTTTGATTTTTGGAGACTAAAAACTGGTAAAAATGGGAACAGGAAACCCTGTGAATAACAGGTGAGACAGAAAGATGACTGAACCTCTAAGAAGATAAAAATCCATAATTGTTTGCTAGATGATGATATAGTACTGTATTTAGGAACTGATATTTGTCCTTGATCTCGACAACTATAGCAGTTTTGAATAACCAGGTGATACTTTACAAATTTCAGGAATCAAGACCAACTAAAACATGAGAAGATGTATTCAAGATGATCCAACCAGAAGATTTTTCACTTCATAGAAATCTTATTTTTGTTTAATATGTAATATAATTTCACAAAGCCAAATTCAGTTACTTTTCTTGAAATTAAGACACGCCTGTGGCCTTCATCAGAAATGTTTCTAACATTTTCAAGAAAAAATATGTCCCAGAAACTGAGTATGTTTTTACTAGTTTTTGGAATCATCTGGGGTTTGATGTTGCTACGCTACACTTTTCAGTATCCAAGACGCCAAAGCAGTGCTGAGTTGCGTGGACAGATATTAGATCTCAGCAGAAGATATGTCAAAGCACTGGCAGAAGAAAATAAAAATTTAATGAATGGAGCCGGTGGAGCATCTATGGCAGGATATGGTAAGAGGAAAAAGCTATACTAGTAGTCTGAATATCTTCTTTTTTAAATGAAAGCTGTAAAGTTACATTTTTTCTCTTTCAAAGTATTACATACTGCTCTTAAAGAGAAAAAAAACTCCTTGTTTTTCAATCAGCAAAGGTGTAAATATATAGATTTTTCCCCCCCTACTTTATAGCTTATATAATAAGCAATAAGATACTATGTCATAGCAGTTTTTCTATGGACTAGATTTGTTATTTAGGGGAAAACTATTAACTACCTTTTTATGTTGGAAAGTATTTAAATATATTCTGTTGCTGTCCAAGGCTAAAAGGTGTTATAGCTGTGTATTCTAGTACTGTTGTCTGGATGAAATTTGAAATACTGCCTTTGAATAGTCACTTCTAGTGATTTTGTTCTTACACTCAAATATTTAATTGGCTGCCTTCACAGTTCCCTATTATGGTGGTATCTTCCATTCGTAAAATACCAAAGAAATGGTATCAAAGAAAAATCAAGCAGCTATACTTGTATATCAGTCTGCATTCCTTTCCAAAGTGTATAGTAGGGAGGATAGCAAGTCTTAAGATGTGAATATGTTGAAATAGCCATTCTTTTCCACACATAGTAAATAATAGTCTCTAATTTGTTTTTTCCATTATCTTCAGCTGATCTTAAGAGAACAATTGCTGTTCTTCTGGATGACATCTTACAACGCCTGGTGAAATTGGAAAACAAGGTTGATTACATTGTTGTGAATGGCTCAGCAACAAATACCACTAATGGAACTAGCCATCAGGCACCAGTAACTTCAAATAAACGTGTAAAACCAGCCAGCAACATTAGATAGCAAACAGGGCTGCTTTGTGTTGCTACATCTGTGATGGGTAATATTTAAAATAAGCTTTTTATCTCTGGCTAAGGCAAAGCAGTAGTTGACTCTAAAAGAAGCATAAACTATTCTATTATACTATGTGCTGGATCTGTGTAGGCCTAACATATGTGCTTAGGTTCTCAGAGCATTATTTCATTGCCTTTGAGCAGTACTTCTGAAGTGATCTTTGTTGTCTTTAAAGATATTTTGATATCATGATTTGATGTAGTATGCCATTGGATAATAAAACTATGTGGAAAGCAGTGGGGAACTTATGGGTAGGTTTATAAATATATTTATTTAAGTATGAATATAACATATTTTTTGGATAGGTGAGAAGCATTGTAGCTTATTAATTTTTTGTGATCTACATTTAAGCCAAGGTAACTAAGGAAAATGCGTTGTTAAGCAGATGTTAGAAAATGTATATACTTAAAATATTTTGTTACTTAACTACTAAACAATAGTAAATTGAGGACAACATTGGTGGTAATATTTTAAAATTGTGACCCAAAGAATGTCTTTATTTGCACTATCTGTCAGAATAGTTAAAGAGAATTTACTGTATATTTAAGAAAATTAATTATAAGAGGAAAATATTCTAGGTAGTAACACTGTCCAGGTTTATCTTCGTGCCAGAGTTAAGGCAGTTAGATTATCAAAAGCAAATCATAATCTGTGATATCTTAGATGATTGTTTCTTACAAAGATATTTAAGTGTATGTATTTTGTAATTGCAGATGAAATTATTTAAGTGACGGAAATAAGTTTTGGATATGCAAATATGGTTTATTTTTATTCATTGGTGATTGTTTTAACAATTTAATACCTTGCAATTTGTGATGAGTATAGCACACGATCTCCCTGAATTGCTTTCTTGATCAGAAGGAAAATCAGTGAAGGGAAACAAGGCATCTCTGCATTTAACAGAGTTATATATACTGAGGGTGTCTAGTCATGGAGTATTTGAGAGGTAAGGTAATATTTGCCTTATGTCTAAGTTAGTCTTACAGCAAAGTGAAATGCATTCAGCATGGATGCACTGTATTTCAAAATGTTCCTGAAGTCATATTTAAGTGCCACTGAACCTGTTTTTTAAATCGTAGTGAATGTTTGGTGGGGATAGAGGATACGTTCAGAGACTTTTGCCAAAAGTGTCCTGTGAGTGGGGTTTTGGGGGTGGGTAAAACCAGAGGTGCTGGATGATACACCATCCAGAGTTATGTGTTTTTTCTTGTCTTCTGTTTCCCTGCTGATATTCTTGATGGTTATAAAAGAAAATACACTTGCAACCTTCATTAGTATCCAGAGGATTTTTTTTGGTCACATTGTGTGTAAACATGTACTCACTTCAATGCAGAAAGAGAAATAAATTTTTAATTGTACTTGTAAATGTTCCTGTTGTTCTTTTTTTTATTATTATTATTAAACAGTCTTGTCGTTTTTGCTACATGTGCTCTATCTGTTTCTGAATTGGAAAGCTGTGTCTCTCTAAGGTTTAGTAGTAGTCTATCTGGTATTCTTTCTGCTCAGTCACTGGATTCTTCTGCTCTTTAAATTCTTATGCCCTGAAACTTTCCTCAGGTTAGAGCTGCGGGAAGAAAGAATTGAAAATAAAATAACTAGTTTCCATCTTTAATAGTGAAGACTTTGCTCTTTAATCTAGGACTAAAGAAGATAGGTGCATAACTTCTTTTGAATCTGCAATTCTCTATTGACAATGTGAAGATACGTTTTTATATGTCTGTCTGTCTATATCTATCTATCCATCTATGATTTTATTTTCCAGATACTTGACTACTACCAACCAGAACCTTGTTCTTGTGTTTGTATACAAAACTGTCTTTTTTTTCTTTTAAGGGTATGTGAAATAAAGTTATTGAGGATTGTTAAACAAGCAAGGTGAGTATTTATCAATATGTGCACAAGCAGGTTATTTTATGCAGGGATTTTGGAGACTGATACATGCAGTCATGGTAATTTATGGTGCCATTAGCAAATTGTTGCTTTTTTTTTCAGGTTTCATTAGCACAATGGCTCATTGGAATTAGCTTGTACTTGACAAATACATAGAGAAAGCTGTGAACTACCTCTGTTTTATGGGACAAAAGTTCCATTCATTAATATAGTTGAAAGAACTGTTTGTCAAGGAGCAAGTTAAAAATCGTCTAGTAGCATCCTATATCTCATTTTGCCTGAAACCAGCATTATTAGGGGTTGATACAGCATTACATCACTGTCCATGATATATCTTACCCGTCTTTTTGTCACTAGTCTTGTTCTGTGCTCTATCACCATGCCATGCCTCTGACTTGTGTTCTCCCTTCCCCAGCTACCTAGCATGCTTCCATGACTTCTGTGCTCCAGCAGTGCAGAGGATGGAAGCTGAGCTTTATCCTTTTTGCTAAGATGACAACACTTTTCAGAATAGGAAAACTAGGGAAAGAAAGGCAAGGAAGGGATAAAGGGGGGAGGTCTCGGCTGCCCTTTCCTATTAACAGCAGTAGCAAGAATACATCTGCATGTTCTAGCCTGCAGCTTCCTTTATAGAACATGTGAGAGGTGTGGCAGCCCTGCAGTGGCAGGAGGTTGTGTAAAGAACCTGAGGGTTTGGGTGAAAAAGAAGCAAGAGAAAGCCTACAACTTACCCTGGGTCCAAAATGCTTGATAGTTTCACAGGATTTGGTTGTGTTGCCAAACATTTAATTTTTTTTTCCTGAGAAATATTTAAGTTGTGTTTCTACTGTGCTGCAGTTTTTATGATGCAGCTGTGTATTTCCTATTTTAGACAACATCATAATCCCCCCCCAAACTGACCTGCTTCAATTTTTGTAATATGGAATCTTCTTGAAGTTGCTTGGTTCTTGGGCTGGATTGGGTTTGGTGTTTTTGGGGTTTTTTTTTCCCTTTTCTTTGGAGGGCAGGGGGCCATATAACCTCTTATATAAAGAACTGCTGATTTGAAGGGAGGGGGGAGTGTTTTGGTTTTGACCTTGAAATCTTTCGGTAAATTATGAGTCTTAAATTTTCCCAACTGTAATTTGCCTCCTGAGTGTTTATCAGCTGATTTTACTAGATACTTGTCAGTACTTCTGTGCCTGTGAATGATTGCTTAATATAGGTAGCAAAAAATGTTCAAGATCCACTCCCAAACAAAAGTTCTAATGAAGAAAAATGGAAAGAAAAGAGTATATATTGATTGCTGTCTAAACAGACAGTTCTTTTTGTTACTTTCTTCATCTAAATAAATCATTTTGGAATTTCACCTTATTAACATTAACATAATTAAGATGTCTAAGCATTGTCTGTGTGAAGAAGAGAAAGTGCTGAGTGGCTCCACATTAAAGAATCTTTGGGATGAATGGATGGACAGATGAACAGATGCTCCTCTGAAACACACTGAGATGGCTCTTACCAAGCTACCTATACACTGTTAGGATCACAGAAGTTTGCTGATCTGTTTTTAACGCAATAATTTTAAAATTAAAGGAAAAATACACAAGGGTATAGAGATTCTTGTATTTAGTGTGGTGAAACATCAGTCTCCTTGATACCCAGTAATATGTGTCATATGTTGCACAGTTTGGTCTGTTTTTCCAAGTAACTGCTAAATATTTGTTTTTCATCAATGCAATCATTTAAAGAAGCTGGCTAGATAGATCTAAATTTGAATTAAATATATTTGTTAATGCAGAGGTTTCCAAGCTGCATCATGTTTGTGATGTGTGCAAGTTGCTTAAGAGACCAAGCACCTCCTGTGCATGTACATGTTCTGGGGGTATTTGCTGCCATTGTGGCCTTTGTTCACGGGAATGCAGAAGCAGAGTAAATTTGGGAACAAGAAGTTTATTTAGCAAAATGATTACATAAAATTTAACATCGCAGTTTATTATGTTTTCTTGAAACCCTTTTAACTCCTAAAAACACTCAAACTCATTGAATAAGTTAAATATCTAGAACATTCTTACTTAATTGATGTAGTATTTGTAAAGGTGATGTAGAGTGTCAATTGGTATCTTTAACAATTAATCCAAATATGACCCCCCTTACCTAATGCCATTAGTTTGTACTTTACAAAATAAAGCAGTCTGCTACCTGTGGGGCTCAATTTAACATATCTGATAGTATGGCACCTTCAAAGGCAAGAGTGAAATGGGAGACTTCCCTTTATAGTAGCTCAAAAAGTGAATTAGACTTTTTAAATGTTTTTCATGTAGAAAAGACGTTTACTGAATTGGTACTTCACTAATCTCAGTTTGTCAGGAATGATGCACATAGGCATTTGAATCTGTTTGAAACTATCATTTAGGTTATTAAAATTAAACCCAAGTTAAAAAAATTTCATGTTACATATGTTCATGGAATCACCTCTCTTAAACATCAGTGGCATCACATGCTGCTGAATTACCTTATCTCTAAGTGATCTTAATTACTACAGATTTCCCACCTATGTTTGTCAGTACTTCCAGCAAAAACCTTTCATTAATTGACCCTTACTTGCACATGAGCTTACATATTCTCTGTGACATTCATCAGCTTATTCTGTCTGTACATGTCTAATAATGCTCTGTTTTCCTGATAGTAAACTGAAGAAAAACATGCTGTAATTTTTAAATACTGTAAATTAGGATTAATAATTAAAAAACTACTTTATTGTAGCATTATGTATGGTCATGGTCAGAAGTTTATAGAAGTGAGTTCTGCTTGTATTTGCCTTGAAGTATATCAGAATATTGGTTAAAAATATGGATGGAGGGAACAATTTAATGGAAATCGTTTATATTATTCTTTTTACTACTTTAATTCTCGTTTCCAGAATAGTTGATTGACCAGATCCGTAGAAATAGAATGACTGACTACTACTTCAAAGTGATGAGTTGAGGTCCAAAATATTAAACCAGGTTTTTTTCTAAATTATTTATTCTTGTATTAATAAAGTGGCTGTCTTCAATTTGCATAGGTATTTCACTGAGAATAATTTTAAGCACTTGTCAAACTTGTAAGGGTTTCAAAAAATTTAAAGGGTCACACATTTTATTGTTAACAGAGGGTGTTGAGAGAGACTGTCAACACCCCATGCAGCATTAAGCTGTTGCCTTTGATGTGTAGGCAGTACCTTAGGTCTCACAGAACTGTACTATAACTAAGTATCCATATGTTCAACCCACTTTGATGTGTTCAAAGATCTTGGGCCAGCAGCATCCGTATGCTATATCACAACCATAGGAGGTAAAACATGCCATCTGGATTCCTGTTCCTTTTACTTACCTTGTGTCATGGCTTATTCATGGGAGCAGAAAGCCTTTTTTTTCCCTTCCTTGCTACTCAAAATTATTTGGTAGTTTACATGAAAAATCTGGTTTGACTCAGTTTTTAATGAATTTTATTTTGGATGTCTATTAACAATCTCTTAGAAGAGATGAGAGACGGGAGAGGGTTTTCTGAGTCCAAAATGTACTCCTATACTCATGCTATGACAGTAAAACAGTGAGTGTTTCAAATACCTTTATTAGCTAAGAACTCCATTTCTCAAAGTCTTTCACCTTTCATATCCGTTCCCGAGTAAGTTTACGGATCCAGATTTGGATCCAAGCAGATCTTGAGTGGGGTCTTACTAGGTAATAAGACCTGGATGCTAATAAGCTGAACACTGTCTGTATTGCAGAAAACACTTGCTATGATCAAATCCAGAAATAAATCCTCAATTTTTGTGATGGGAGGTAGTTCATAGGACAGATGCCTCAGCAAAAAATGACTTGATTTCCTGCTGTTGATAAGTTCTCACTGACTGTTCACAGGTAATCTGATGCTAAAGTGCAATATAGACTAACATTTGTCGCCAAAAGCTGCCTTATTCAGAAACCTGGCTCTGCTCTCCAAACCCAAACTATTTCAGAGGACTGTTTTTAACAAAGATCTTGCACAGATGAGGCACATCAACCCATGACACAGGAGCTCTGCTCATTCTGTGTGAACCAGGCTTGCCAGAGCTCTTTCCACCCCTTCCCCCCTTTATTGGCAATGCTGGAATCTGGCACCAGTGAAATGTGCATACAGATAAGCTATCTCAAAGATCTTCAATTTTGTGCAGCTCCTGTGCAGCAGTGTGTTTCTTGTTATGTTCAAACCCCCTGTCTGCAGAGCTTCTTGTCCTGCTTTCAAGGTCCGCTTTCCCCCATCTCTTTCTTTATCAAAATAGTTGTGGTCAGAGGAGGAATTTTCCCTGGAGAAATAATGCTTTTTTTTTTGGTGGGATTTTATTTTCCTCCACTAACTTACTTGAAAATGTATTGACTGCAGTGAGGACTTGCTCCCATATAATTTCTGCCTTTGAGTGACCTGTTCATGTTCAGATCTCAGTGTGACAGAACGTGTGTGTTGCATTGTAGTGCTGTCTCCTCTGCTGAAATTTCTTATACATGTGGCATAGCCACAGGACAAATGCCCAGACCATATGCCCTGTCACCTTATTTAGATACTGCTGGAAACCTGGGAGTGTCCCTGTTGTTTCATCTCTCTCTGGGGGATGTTTTGGCAAAACACTGCCGTAGTTCTTGTGACAATCCTCTTCACCTTCTGCTTCATTGCTTGTGGCTTGCCCAGTTTGAAACAATCTAGAGATTTCCCCGAATTGCTGTACCTTTTTATTGCCAGGCAAGTGTCATTGTATGGTATGGAAAAAGCCTCTCTTTGTGGGTTTCAATTTGACAGTCTGAGGGTTTGCAGCTCATGCTAGCAGGCAGAGCACAATTTAAATACCAATTTCCTAAAGCTCAGATAAAGAAAACATACTACATCTTTTCCTCACATATTTGGTCACTTTGTGGCCAGGGTGTTTGTATCAAGGGCAAGCAGTAATTTACACGGATAGTGCAGTACCTGAAATAGCAGTCTCTGGTGTATTCACTACAGCCCTCAAACACATCAGAGGACTTGCTTCAATGTAGTGGCATTGCTTGTGGCACATGGAGAGGAATGGGGAATTGCAGTTTGCCAATCTTAAGAACCATCTTTGGTTAGCAGTGTTTCCCAAAGTTAGCCTCCTGTTGTCTTGAACTATGAACAAAACGCACATTTTGTAATGGAACATATATTTTATTTTATAATGGAAGAGTGACGGGGAATCAGTGACCAACCAAAAATACCCACCAGGAATGGGGTGGTCTAAATAGCAGCAGCAGCAGCTGAGGACAATGTGAGTGCAGGGCAGGTGCCGTGAGGGCTTGGGTGGACACAAGGTGCTGCGGGGCTGGTGGCACTCGTGATTGTGGATGCCTTTCTGGGGCACCTCAGGTGTGCGGATCTGCACACACACATCTCTGGATGTGCCTGTGCCTGTGCCCCGGCACTGCCACTCAGGGAGGGTGTCCATTCTGAGAGGAATGGGGGATGACTGCCATACCTGGGGGATGCGTGCACCATGTATGTCCTTGTCCTTGATATCAAGCCCCTCAAGATTTGAACTGCTCAAGATTTGAATCAAACTTTGCAATTTTTTTTTGTTGTTGTTAGTCAGTAGCTGTAGCTAGACAGTTATGATTAAGCAATTGCATTGTGAATGTTGTATGTTTGGCTAATCTTTTGTTTTAAGGAAAAGAGAAGACAATTCCAGGATAAATGGGCCATCTGGACAAGAGCCACCAAGAGTGAAGTCAGCAGAACTGAGCAGTAACTCAGGGAAAGGTAATTCCGGCAGTGGGCGATTGTGACCACCTACTCAAAATGGACCCCAGACTCAAATGGAGAGAACTGCACCTGCAGACTAATTCTTATGAGAATCGAGAGCTATAACTAGCAAATAAGGGTTTGAGTATTAATAGAAAAGTTATGTAACTTGTAACCAATGAATGCCGATGCCCTTGTTAAAATGTATAAAGAGTGTAAAGTCTTGATGACCAGTGAGCCTTTTGTGGGTTACCGCCTAGCTCCCCCCTTTGCGCAAACTAGAATAAAACACAGAAATACGGGGTGTGAATTTGCGCTGCGCACCGGGAAACGAGTCGCGTTCGGGAAAACATCCTGGCGCGGGGCTCGCCGTCCCCGTGGACGCGGCACACACCCCGTAGTGTACGCGGCACACACCCGTAGTTCCACGCGCGTTTCTCAGCGACCGGTGCGGTGCGTGCCGAGGAGGACCGCCTGCCCCCGCCCGCCTCCGCCTGCCGCGCTCCGTGCGCGGGCGGCGCCCGGCGCTCCCGCGCCTGACGGCGGCTGGGCCGGTCATGGAGCGGCTGCAGGTGGAGGCGGAGGCCCTGGAAGAGTACGCGGAGTACCGGCGGTGAGCGGACAGGGCCGGCGCGGTGGGGTCGCTGGGGCGGGGTGCCGGCGGCGGCGGTGCCGCATCCCCCGTGTCCGGCGCGCGGGCCGGGATTCCTCCTGAGGAGATGCTCGCGCTCGCCTACCGCCCTCCCGAAGCCGCTCCTCCGGGGGGTTGTGGCGGCTGCGTTGAGTCACATCCACCGCCCGCCGTTCACTGTCGCAGCCGGAGGTGCCGTGGCCGGTGTGCCCTGGTGCGGGCATGGCGTAAACGCTGTACAGCAAAGGAACGCGTCGTTCATCGCATCCAGGCCCGCCCGGCAGCGTGTCTGTGTGATGTGCTGTGAGAGGCCGTATGGGCTAGCAGGGAGGTTGGAACTAGGTGATCTTTAATGTCCCCTCCAACCCAAGCCATTCTGTGATAATCTGACAGCTGTACTGCTCTTTCAGAAAACACGGACTTCCGTGCATCATGAGTTCTAGTTTTGCACTCTATAAACCCCTCATACTACACTACTTTGTGTGTCTTTGGTAATCTCGTCAGCACTCCTCTCGAAAGGCTGAGCAAAAATAAAACATGAACACAGTCATTGTGCTGAAGTGTGATCTGAATTTAGCTTAGGAAAAGTTAAATAAAACATGAGAGGAAGGCGCAGTGGTATTTCTTACATAAGGTGTACAGTGATTCAGTGGGCGTTGGCTGGGTTGATGTGCAAATGACAGCGATGTGTTGGCACGTTATTCTGGTGCTGTACAGTACTGGCAATGCACAAATCCACAGAATATTTGACACAGAATGACTCAGTGTGTTTTAGGGCACCCAACAAATAATAACTGAAATATTTACAGACACTAATAAACTAACTTTCAGCATAGCTAAGTGTTGCAATTAAGTCTTAATTGTATTCTACAGGTTTTACTTATTGTTATCAATTGTTTCTATAAATGCAGAATATGGATGCAGCTCAGGAGTTCCAGATATTCAGTGACCTTGAATTTGAATATAGTGTGCCTGTCTGAGTTGTGGGATACAGCTCCCATCAACTTTAGCTGCAGAAACTATCATAGCCTTCTTGCAAGTTAGAAGACAACTTGGATGTGTTGTTTGTTACTTTGATGGCAGTTTGTTTTCCTGCTTGCAGTTACTCTCAAACTAGACTAAGATTAAATCACTTGATACGAACAAGTCTGCAGTACAGTTAGGTGTAGATGGGTGAAGTGACTTGCCAGAGATCATTCAAGAAGTCTGATGCAGAGCTAGCTGGTTACACAACCCTTGATACTCATTGCATTTTCTGCCATATGAAAAGGAGTGCTGTGTAGTTTCCTTTATTTTTTCCTTTTGTCTTACAAGACTGTTTTTCAGTCTGTCAGAGCAATTTTTTCAAAAGAGCATTATTCACAAAATTTCTCTAAAGATCAGCTATAGTTCTGTTAAATGTATATCACTAGAACAGTATTATGAAATACAAGATTTTCTTTTTGCATTTACAGCAAAAGTGCTGTTATATATTATTTGAAAAAATATCTGGAGAAATCTACTTTTATTGTCTTCATATCCTTATGGTTCTTTTTATAACATGCTTACAGAATTGTGGGTGATGATGATGGAGGAAAGCTCTTTACTCCTGAGGAATATGAGGAGTACAAAAGAAAAGTACTACCAATTCGATTACAGAACAGGTTGTATGTGAGCTGGAGATCACCAACTGGCATGGACTGTAAGCTTGTGGGACCAGAGACACTGTGCTTTTGTACTCACCGGTAGGCAGCTTTTCTTTTTTTATACCATGGTTTTTTTAAAAATCAGGAAAATGTAAAGTATTTCCGGATACGTTACAGTACCACATAAGCAAGTTAATTTAAGGCCTGAGGGTTGAGAAAATAAGGTTTTAGACAGTAAGAACTGTTCTTAAATCTAAATCTCAATAAATTTTTGAAACCAAAATGGTTTTGCAGTCTTCAATAAATTCAGCTTTAAGGTATGAGTTATTGTAGATCATATTGATTCTGATAGTGGTATCAAAACAAAACATAAAGATCTGTGATATTTATGTGATAAATAGTTGTAAAAGCAGCTGATACTATGCATTTAATTAAAAATTAACAATTAACAGTAATATAATTAAGGGTACTTGAAACCCAAATTTGTGAACTAAATTATAAGGCTGTCAGTTACTTTTCTGATAAATACTAATAAAGTTATGAAAGTTATTATTTTTACCTCTTTTAGGTATAAACAACACAAAACAGACTATGAAGTGCTTCCCAAAGAGCGTCCTATTTGTGTGCCTTGCAGAGTGAGATGCTGTCCATGCCAGTCCTACCACTATGTCCCTCTGAATGGCACCCAGCCCATCCGCTGTAGATGCAAACACTTTGCTGACCAGCACAGTGCAGCACCTGGATTTCCATGTAACTCTTGTAAGTTACGGGTGGGCTTGCATCATTCTTTGCTAGGAAACTCAACAGAAACAAGAAGTTAGGGATCTGTATTTGTCCCTGGGTATTAGGTATATGCTGCACTTGTCACTGATGTGTATTTTGATCCTTGAAGGAGGATGAGAAGTGGGAAGGAAGACATCACCTTTTGCAGGAGGGTTTAGAACAAGATCCTTGGCTTCCCCAAGTCCTGTGAAGGAGTGTAAGTTTCTGAATGATTTAGTTAGGTGCTTATGGAGACAGATGCCTGAAGTTAGGCAGTATGAAAGCACTGCATTTGCAGTTTGTCACTTCCAGCTCCATGCACATGACTTTTCTACCTGAACTTGGTAGTTTGTGAGAGAGAAGGGTTGATCTCCATTCCTCTATTGCCTAGTTGAATATAATGTTAATGTATCTTTTCTCAGTTCCATAGGAAGTAGCGCTCTGTTCTCAAATAATACTGTTGTTAGCACTCTAACAAAGCAGTTCCTGAGCATACAGATTGGGAGTCCAGAAAGGTAAATGGGAATGGAGTTTCAAGGAAGAGCTTTGAAAAAGGATTAAGGGGAAGTTTTTTGCTTCAGTTGTTTGAGGTTTAGGTAATGAAACAGCAATAGTTATTGACCACATAAAATAAATAATGCATAGAGATGTTTTAGTTTGAAATCTCAAATTATGTAAGCTGAAGATTTTTTTTGCTAGAGTTCTGTTATTAAATTTCTTTCATAAAATGTCACTATTTTGTACAGGAAAAACTGTAAACAGCTTTTACTGTTTGGGAATTATATCCCATAGAATAAATCATAAAATATTTATATGACAGCCTTTCCAGATTTACTCTAAGTAATGCCAAAATCTTAAATGTGCAATTGGACAATTCAGACTGAATCCGTAGAACACAGTGTTTTCAATAATAATATACATTATGCACTTTTTTCAGTGTTTCTCAAAAATACTGGACACTTCTAAGGGATTCACAGATTTCACAGAGAAGTGTCAAGACTTGCTTCTGTTTTGGACTTGTGTTGTTTTAATGTAATGGTATTAGTTTAGTTCAGTGTTGATAAATCTAATGTGATAGATAAATTATAATTGAAAATACTACTGTTACACTTTATATATCACAAACACTGCATTCTGTGTCCAAACACAGAATACAGAGCTTTGTTACCAAGGAGTGCCCAAAATTATATGAAAAAGCCTTTAGCATTCTCAAGAATATGATCCTTGAGCATATTATGCAAGACTTAAAAAAATCTTTCTTGGTGCTCTGCAAAATTAACTGTGAGTTGAAAGCAGAGTAATTTGTATAATTAAACATTTGCAAAATCAGTTCCTCAATTTCTTGGTCACATCATTGCTCCAGCAGGGCTTTGATGACAATTTTATCCCTGAGTTTAGGGCAGATAGGTCACTTCACTTCACTCCACTCTGTTTCTGAATGTCACATGACGTGTATAACTATTTCAGTTACATCCTATGACTATGTGAGGTTAAAAACCCCCATGAAAGTTAGTCTAACTGTACTCTTGTGTAGAACCCATTTTGCTGTTGCCACAGTCTCTGTTTACTACTGAGATAATTCTGCTGATTTTAAAAGACATTTAAATTGTGATTTATATAATAAATTATGATATGAAGCTTTTTGACCATGCAACACTGCCATGTGCTGTACAACTCTGGAGGCAATATTGCCAAAATGCTGGCAGGTTGTCATCCTTACCAGTGTCAGAATTTCTTATCCCTTTATTTTTTGTCAGTGGATAGAGAGGAGTGTTGTTAATGGCAATGGACACAAGTTATAACACAGGAAATATAGTTACATATCAGAAAAGAAATGTCTGATCCAGCATTGGTCCAAGCTGCTGAGAGAGGTGGAATCACCATCCTCAGAGGTACTTGAAACTGAATGAGACCTTGTGACTGGATGGGCTTTATGATCTAATCTCCACAGTGATCCTTTATGTTTATACGATTTTTTGATATAGCTGGATGCTTTTGTAGTGAAGGAACTCTAGTTTTTTATGAGATCAGTTTAGGAAAACCATTTTGTCTGCAATGAGGTATAAATTCCATTAGCATCTCACTCATTTTTTTTTTATTAGGTTCCAAGTGTTCAGGCTTTCATAGTTGCTTTACTTGTGCATGTGGTCAGCCAACATATGCTCATGAAACAGTTGTGGAAACCAAAGAGGAGCGCTTGGCCCAAGGAAAACCTGTGGGGCAGGATGTTCCTTATGCTGCTATGGGAGGACTGACTGGTTTTAGTTCACTAGCAGAAGGCTACATGAGACTTGATGACAGTGGAATAGGTAAGTGCAGCTGACCTGAGATGAAGTTTTAGTTCTCCACCTAAGTAGCTTTGAAAAGTACTAAATCAAAATAGATTTTCAACGTTTGAAGGCAAACTGGATCAATGGGAATAGGAATGCAGATAGTTTTTTTTTCCAGCAGTCCTTTGGTGTGAAGAGATCGCTGTGACCGTGTTGTCCAACTTCCTGTACTGAATTGATAAAATAACTCTTTATCAACACTTCTGGTGTTCAGCTCAGTTGCTTCTGATTGAAAGGCAGCATATCTTTTAGAAGGAACTGTAACTTCTCTTTTTCTCTTAATACTTCCACATTATATTTATGTTAATCCTTTAGCCTAATAGTGCCCACGAATTTCTTGGTTATATATTTACAGCATTTTTGTTTTCAAACTCAAAGGTTAATAGCTGTTCAGCTTAAAAAACCAGACATAATTCACAGAACAGACATATTAGTTGGCCTTGATACTTCTGCTATTCTGTGATTTTGTGTCATTTAATAATGGATACATTTTGTCCTGAAATACTGCTTTATCTATAATTGTCATATATTCATTATTTCTTTTTTAAATTCTGATCTGGTTTCCTGGATTTGTCAGAAGTTTAGAAACTATGGTATTGCCATAGTAACTAAAGAAACAAAGCTTTCCATTTCTTTCGAAGCCATCCTTGTAATGCTTTTGTTAACTCAAGTTTATGGGGACTGCACTGAGAGTTGTAGATATGAATTTGTAGCCTTGTTTTGACCCCATCATGTATATTAGGAATCTATCTCATGAAGTTAATTATTGTTTTCATTTGACTTATTTTCTAACAGGTGCTCCTTCTGCTGAACTTTTAGAAGCCCCTGTTACCAGCATGGATCATCCATTTCTAAAAGCATTTCAGGGGCCTTCTAGTTCTGCTCAAACCATCTCACAGAGAGCAGGTGATGTTTAAGTAGGATAATACTGTTATACAAAAAGAATTTAATATAAAATTAAATGATTTTAGTAATGAATTTAAGGATGATTGAAGGGCTAAAATAAAAGTTAAACATTGAATATAGAAGCCTTGTTATGTGAAAAGTTAATACAGCATTCATGTACTTGAAATGTTTAGAATAACTGTTTTCTTAATGCTTGTTATTTCTGCTCATGATGGGGTTTTTACCTGAAATGATTTTCTCCTAGCATTTGTTATCTTCCCCATTAATGGTGTCACCTATTCATTGGGTCAGTTTTTAAAATTTTTAATTCCTATGAGAAGCTCATTATATCTGAACTGGTTGTATATATTCAGCATAATCCTGTGAAACTGCCTTCTGCCAGAAAGTCTTTTCTAGATGGAATCATAGATCAGTTATGCCTATTTTATGTCCCTTGTTCAGTATAAAAATTTAGCAATTACTCTAACTGTTGAACTTCTCCAAGACAATTTATAATAGCTGCTAGCCTAGATTAAAGAGGTTTCTCTTTGATCCCAACTCTGTGTTTTGTACTTGCCTGTAAAGGTGAGTTCTCATTATACATGTATTTTGCCAAATGTAAAGCATAACTAATAGAATAACAAGTATCCTTAATGAAAAAGGAGTTTTGTTTTTTTGTTTTGTTTGTTTGTTTGTTTTTCAGGTAGTTCAAGTGCCACAGGGCAAATTTCTCATGGAAAACCTTCAGAAGAAGATGACATGGCTTACTTTGAAAAACGTTATCAAGAACGGGCAAGTCACCACATTTCTTCGCTAATTTAAATACCCTTTCACAAGAGGATGTCTAAAATGCTACATATGTGATTTAAGTAGCATATAAATGTATTATATAGTTACTTCTCTTGTTCCTGAGGAAGCACTAGCTTCTTAACATAATGTTTTAAATACAGTTAAGGGCTATTATAGGATTTCAGAGGCCAGTCATGTGGGATACCATTTACCTTAACTGGACAGATTTTAATTAAGTAACCTGCCATTACAGAAAACTGAAATATTTTACCATGTGACAAAAAGAAACGACAAAGCAGACTCACAGCAAGTCCCCTGTGACATTTAGGACTGTGTGTTTGCTACCTCATTTATAAAATTCATAGTGGGTTTTTTTTAATGAATGTCTGAATAAATTGGGCTAAATCTGGTCTGTCTTTCTTAGATGATCTGTATCACTCCCTTAGAGGTGTCTCCTCCACCCCACTGACTATCTTAAATTTAAATGCCCTGTGGTATAGGTTACTTACATGCTTAAATACCAATTCTTTCCCCACATAAGCTCCTTAGCTCCACCATCTCAGCTGAAGTGTTGTATTGACTGTTTATGAATTCTTTTGTAAGGCAGTGTTGCATAATTAACTTTTAAAATCGAAACTACTGTTATGCTTGGTGCTTGAAACAAGGTGTTTGTTAAAGAGAAAGCTGTTCTAGCTTTGTGAAATGTTAAATAGCTTTCCTTATTTTGGAAATAATCACAAAATATGGTCCGATGTTAAAAATATTATATCAATTAATAGAAAACATGTTACTATCAAATCCAAATTCCTCCATTTCTTCCCCCCCCCCAAGATTTTATTTTCTTTGCAAAAGGTAGTAGGAATTTCAGCTACAAACCTCAAGACTCCAAATAAGGAAAAATGTTTTAAAATCAGCTCCTATGTAGACCAACAACAGGATTGCTTAGCAGTGAGTTCATTTGTAGGGACATCCAAATGAGGACTGAGGCTTGACTTCCTTTTGACATTATTTTATGAGAGGGGAAAAGCATGTTAATTTTTTTTCTTGCGTTTTTGTTAGCAGTGTGATTTCTAGTATTAGATGCAAAAGCCCATGCATTCTTTTTATGTAATTACTCTAAATATAATTTCATTCACTAGTGTAACAATATGTGAGAACAACAGATATACTGGTTTGGATTGACAATCTTACTACAAAATGGCATAGTTAAATGTATATGTGTTGGTAAATCATACCATGCTGTAAGAGCCTACTGTGTAGAAAAAATCTCACGAGAGAAAGTCATGACCTTGTGGGTCAGTGAGGAGACACTGAGATGGAGATTTAGCATCTATCTTAGCACCATTCCTTGGTGACTTTGTGCATGCTGGTTCATCTTACTGTATCTGTTAGACATCTGTAATAAAGCTGCTTTACCTTACACAGAGATAAACTCATGAACATTTGTGAGGCACACTGGCCTTGAGGAATACAAAAGTACCTAGATTGCCATTATCAGAAATAAGGCAGCCCTGGTTTGAATAGGGGAGGAGCAGTAGAGCTATGAAAGTGCTCCTTTGTCCTATGCTGCAAACATAAGCAATGCTAGGTTGGGTTAATAATGCTCTGTAGCTCTCTTCATTGCATGTATCACTCTGGTAAATTTGTGGCTGGATGTAGCAATTTAATATTGCATTGTTAGCTGACTGGCAAATTAGTGCTTCGACCATTGTTGATGTCTCTTCTTGTTACAGCTGAAAATGGAGAAAGCTGCTAAACGGAGAGGGAAAAGTCCAGTGCCATCAAAGAAGCCATGAGATTAATAAATAAACAAATAAATATTTATTATTTGGCACACTGCTCAGATTGCATTGAGTATTTTTCTCTGTGCCTACCTGCATACTTCTGTTTATTAATTTATTTATTCTGTTGTTTTGTTATTTTGCTGAAATTAATTTTTAATTATCTTGTTATAATAAAATTGGTTCTTTAATCAATGTGTTTCTAATCTCCAGAACTGTTACACAGATATTTATTTGAGAATGGAAAATCATATTTAGAGAGTTGCAGAACTGTTATTTAAGGTCTGCGAGAATAACCATATATTTAAATATTAGGTTGTCAGAGGGCAAAAAAAATATGTCTTACTCTTAGACTTCTGTGACACATTTCCTTTATTTGTAGAGTCCTTTGAACTCATCTTGTTCATGGATTTTTACTTGGTGAGATTTGTTCTGTTAATATTGACATTTTAATATTTCCTTTAATTTTTTTTCCTTTCTGTTGGCTTCATCTCCTTTACATAAAATTCAAACATACCGTTATTCTGTCACACTTCTCTAGGCTCTGTTCTTGCCATCATATAAATCTTTTTTACGTGTGGCATTCTGTACTCTTGTAAATCCATTTCCACACTTATGAGCTACTTGAAGGGATCTTGCTTGTATACTTTATCCCAGATTTCTCTGGTGGTACCAGTCTCCCAGTTTTGCTTGTCTGTTACTGTCCATAACAACTATTACACTAAACTGAAAACATTAAGTGTAAATGGATTTGTTATTTATTACATGTAAATAAATAATTGTATTGTGTTTGATACAATTTATTTATCCAGCAGATTCATTATGTCTAATCCAACACAGACTGAGGAGATGTGCTTTTGCATTCTTTGTCCATATGCACAGCTGTGGCAGCATATGTTGTATTAAAGGTAGCGGACAGGAAAATATAAAATTTGGTGACTTTGTGTGGTAGATTAATTCTGTGAAGCAGCACAGCAAGAACTTGGTATGGAATAACTGGCAGAGGGTGCAGCTTAGGACGTAAAAGCAGAGCCTGAGCTAACTTATTCTCCTTTGAAAAGAGAAAGGTGTAAGTCAGTTAGTCCTTAAAAATACTTGAAGATGTCTCTTGGACTGGAGACTTTACGGATAGTTATGTGTGTACTGAGACTTTACAGCAAGAATTGGGAGAAGCTTACAAAGCTTTGTTTCCCATCGGAGAGAAAGCCTCTATGTGCCTGATCGGCAAAGGAAAAGAGGTGAGTTTGAAGGCATTTAGTGCAGGGCAACTTGCTTTTTTGTTCAGACAGGGAAAGAGAGTTCTTAGGAGTGCATGTGGGTCATACAGTGAGTGATGGAGACAGCTGGAATCTGAATGAGATGGGAGGGGAAGGCTCAACTGCTGAAATTCAAAGATTTAAGAGAGCCATTTGCCTTAATTCTGACCTTTACAGCCATTACTGCAGATGCCAATCAGACAAGCTAATCTGTTACTTTAGTTTAAATGCATAATACATCAAAGCGGCTAATTAATGTTATAAAAGTACCTTTACTGTTAAATTCTACACAGGTACATGCTGCTTTATCCTAATAAGTGAAAATACTAATTTGAGCTCCCTCTTCTGGCCCTGGCAAGCAATCCGTTCTACGTATCCTCTGCTTGGTCTTGTAAGTAAATGGAGATTTCACAATGAAATCACGAGAAAAACCCCCAAATATAAATAACATTGGTAAAAAAAAAGGTAACTAAAAATACAGAAAAAAATATTTCAGTTTTCAGAGAGATTATCACAAGCTTAATAGCAGAAGTTTATTCTAGTTTTGGATATATCCCCGTGACTTTACCTACTAGGGAATGCAGTTCTGGAAATGTATGTGTGTGTTTCAGGGATGAGCTTTCTCACAGGGAAATATTGTTAAAGGCAGAGGTTTTAATAGTTACAATAATCTTGTATTTTGCATTCCTTTTTATACTGATAACATAACTCTTGGGAAAAAATGTATTCTGCTTTTTTGACATTACAAGTTGAAAATATTTGTCAGTTTTAAATGTTAACTGCCAAATTCAGCTCTACTAAGCTCTACTTTGATCATCATGAACTGGTTTTGTTAAGGTAATTTTAAAAATTTTTTATTCTGTGCTTAAATTTATTTAATGTTTCCACTTAAATGATACAAAATCATTATTACATTTATTTTATGGTATTACTTTTTAGTTGGAAAACAGGTTGGATCATAAAAATATCAACTGCATTTAAATATTACTTAGGAGTTCTGACCACTTTTCACTCATGTTGAGGATGTCCAAGGAAAAGAAACTCAGTTTCCTTACTAGAAGGCATACTTTTGCTTCTTGTATTCACATAATACTTTTTTCCTGAAATTTTATTTATATCTATACATGAAAAACCTGGTACAATGCATCTCAATATTGCTGGCTGTCAAAAAAAGGAACTCGGATGTCATGTCTTAAGTGAAATTTGAATTTATCCTAAAAAAAATAAATTTGTAGCATAAAATTGCAACCTCCAATTCTATTGAAAAATCTCTTTATACATCTATTACAAAAGAATTTTTTTTAAAATAATATAAAAGCAGAGACCAAATACTAGTGTGTTTGCCATTAACAGTTCTCATTAAATAAAGAGCTCATTTTAACTGGTATTTGTTGATGGTTTGTTTTCCTGAGAGCAGCCATGAACTTTGAACAAAATATCATAGAACAGATAAGAACCATTCATGTGTATGATTTATTGGTGGGCGTATATCAGTCGTTCAGCTAGACACATTAACTCTTTCTGACCCTGATCCAAGGAATCAGGCATGAGGGAAAGGTTTTGTTGTCATACACAAGAGTGCTCTAAACTGTTAAAGCCTAATCCTATAGGTCTTGGGCAAAGATTAAGTGATCCTAAGTGGAGGGCAAGGGTCTCCTTCCCATCCTGGGTGTTTCTGATGCTAAATATAAACCATGTCTGTCTGTCTCAGGTTCGGGACGAAGGGGAATGTGATGTGTGAATTCACGACCAGTAATGGCACCCGTGCAGATTTACTTTGTCAAGCTGTCAGTGTCTTTACAGCATGCTGTGCATATTAAACAGTTGGTGGTCTTGTGGCTGTATGTCCCTGGAGTCTCTCTAGAAGTGGTTTGTAGCCATGTGGCCTAAGAAAAAAGAGACAGCTGTGCAGGTAGTGATAGTATTTTTTCTTAGCACAAAAATAATTGAAAACAACAACAAAGGTTTTCCAGTCTAAAAGACCTTGCACAGGTGTACCTGTTGTTGGGTGTTTTTTTGGTAACTAAATATAATACTTTTGCCTAGAAGCCTAATCTCGCTTTGGAGTCTTTAGCATTTATCTTTTGGTGGAGTGAATCATTCCTTGCTTCACACTGGTTTTGCATTCACTGTACCCATGCTGTCTGGCACAGCTGGGCACTAATCTCACAGGTTCCTTCATTTAGCTCCCTAGGGAAGGTCCGAGGCTCAGCCATAACATGTTGCCTACATAGTGCTGTGTTATGGGCAGAATGGGAGCTTCAAACAAAGTTTATTAGAGAAGCCTTCCCGCTGGGTCAGGAGGTGCAGCAAGGACCCCTTGCTTTCTGAACTCCTGTTCAGAGAGGAGTCTAGTTGGGGCTGGATCCAATCTTAGCCCCAGACTTGGTCAACATTTAATGTCTAAACAATCATACAGATGTAACTGAACTTTTGCACAACTTTATCCCGCAGAATTAAGGATGGCAAACCAGATATATTTATATAAAAAAAATATTTATTACGATAAGGATTAGACTAAAATATCATAATCAGAATTATTTGCTACATAGTATAGAAGCTATAACTACTACTATAGTACAGTGCACTATTTTGAAGCAATACTGAAGCAATTATATTAAAACTAGCAAAGAGAATTAATAAGTAGAGATTGGTGTTATTCACCCATACCAACAACTGTGGGCAAATATTTGCTCAGCCTCAAGTGAGGAATCTTTACGCGCGCTCCAAAAACGGACATGGTAGAAGATCCAGCTATTAGAAAGTGGGACTGGGCTTGACTGTCAGTCAGTGATTGATTGACTGTCAGTCAGATGTCTCCAGGCCAGATGCGTCAGCTCAGCAGCTTTAGGTAAGTTCTCAGTAGTATCACTTGTTTGTTCCTTTATCAGGCACTTTATCAGCTCTGCCACATCTTCACCTCACCATCAGAATGTTTAATTTTGCAGTTGATGAATCAGACTCATCAACAGATTTCAGAATCCTTTGTCACAGATAGAGACAGAGTATGACAAAGGTAAAGTGGGGTGTTTTTTGAAACAAACAAGTACATAATCCTATGCTTGAGGAAAATTTATTTTTTTTCTTTTCCTCAATATCACAGAATTACTGAATAGTTTGTGTTGGAAGGGCTCTTAAAGATTATCTAGTTCCAAACCGCTGTCATGGGCAAGGACACTTTCCACTAGACCATGTTGTTCAAAGCCCTATCCAACCTGGCCTTGAACGCTTCCATGTTGTGGGCTGCCATGTTGAAGAAGCTGTAACATTTTGGGCACAGGTTAATTCAGAAAAACTATTTGATTTTAACTGAAATGTTTAATCTTATCTCCTCCCCCTCATCAAGTTTCTGTATAAGTGAGCAATTTGTGTATGTGTGTGTGTGTGTGTATTCTTTTCTGAAATGTCAAAAAGAATTTTCATCCAGTGAACGCATGATGAATGAGAATATGTTGGACAAATAAGTTTGTAGCTACGCTTTCTTGAATACGTGGTAGGTCAAAAAAAAATCAATAGCTAAAATATTTGCTATTGACTTAGGAATACTGTATGAGGCAGTTGGAGTCCTGCTGGGGGTGGATCTCCTACCCTAAAAGTGTCAATTTTTGTATAGATGGGCAGGAGGATGTTGGATGGGGAAAGTGAGAAAAAGTAAAAAACCCCAAACAATTAATGGTTTTCTTTGATGTGGGGCATGTAGCAGGGAGAGGGGAAAATCCAGAAGGAGTACCACATCTTGCCTTTCCTGTTTGGTCTGCAGGCTAATCAGTGTGTGGTCAACATCACTGTAGCTTTCAGCCAGTTGGTGGAGGTAATGCTCCTTGTCATGTTCCCAATAGGAATTTGGGAAGGGGGACCAGATTTTACTCATTCTGTTTATGGAATAGCTTTTTTTAATAAAGGGATTTTTATATGTAATAGTCATACTTAATTCTCCCCTTGGCATTCTGCAACTCAGTTGCAGTGTTTTATTTAATATTGTAAGGCACAGAAGTTAGGAGTGTGCTTCTAAGGTTAACTAAGTGTTTGGTTGCACAAGTGTTTTCTTTCCAGCTCTGAGCTCTGGATCCTTTCCTTGGAGTTATGAGTAGAATGGTCTCTACTGAAAGCTATGTTACTGGAATTGACCTAGTTTTACAGTGGTTCAGATACTAAGTTGTAAATGGAAAAACTCTTCTTCTCTCAGCCAAACCAAAACACAAGTCTTGCATGTAAAGAAAATGAAGGGTATGGCAGAGCTGTTGTCTCCTTTTATTAAATAGTGAAAGAAAACAGATACCACATCCATACTAACATTTGTGAGGATTGATAAGTAAGATCTGCAGACAGCTAGCTGGTAATTAAACTGTTAAAATTGTTCATTGCAAACTATTTCTCTGAGGTACACCACCTGCCCAGATCTGTTTCATTAATTCTTGGAAGAAATTGAGAGCAAGCTTGCAAGTGCACCTAAAATCGTGAAGACTGAAAGATTAGGGTGGGGCATTACTTGTCTCAACAACTGTGCAACTATTTTGATTTAATTTTTGGCTGTTATAAGCCATCAAGTATCTATTAAAAATGACAGTTAATAACTTTTATGCTCTCTCCACACTTTGAATGTCAGTAGATGTAATGACCTCTTGAAAATATGTTGTGCGCTGACTGAAGCTTGTCCTTGTACTAATGCAGTTTTTGGCAAACCTGATTTTAGTAAGGTAAGTATATTTTGTATGTGGCTTTTTTTTCACCTGCATATAAAAGCTTTAATTCTATGCAACCACTGCTTAAGTTATTTTCTTTATCTTTGATTATGCTGTGGGCTCTATTCTCTAAGTTCTCTTTAAGAACTGTTGGCTCTCCTAAAGAAAACACTTATTTTCTGTGAGCAAGTCTGGCTGGACTTCACACTTCAGTAAAATTATGGAAACACTGTTCTTTTTTTTAACACTCATGAAATACTACAATAAGGTAATATACAGAATGCTGCATTGTGTTTCTTTGTCCAGTATACTTCATGGGTTTTTCTTTCACAAGAGAGCAATGCTTTTTTCAGAGAAGTGGTTCTTTGCTCCATCTCAAGAAGCATGAAAGATCTTTTAAAAATCTGTAATGTTGAATGTGCTGGATAAAGTACTCTTGAGAAGACAACCAGGACATATTTAGTAGCAGTTCTATGACAAACATCCAAAGGGAGCTTTTGGCTCTGATGGAAATGACCTGAAAGAGTTGCTAATCAGCATTAGGAGACTGATACAGAGGGCTAATAGTTCCTATTTAAAATTATCATTTCTAGACAGGCTGTTTGGCATGGAAACATTAGATTACATATCTGGCCATAAAAAGTCTTCTATATTGCTTCTTAATTGTAGCCTTTAGAGAAAATAATTGCCAGCAGAGATCTGTTTTGTTACTTAAAGTTTTGTCACTAAGCTTTTAGTTTGAATAAAGTAAATTTCAAAAGGAATTGGATAACCCACTTGCCAACTTCTATTGAGAGTCGATGGGACTTAGGACTTCTGTCAGTTATGATACTGAATTCTTCAAGGCTGAACATTGAGGGAGAGCTATTGGTGTTGAAGTCCAGTCTGATGTTGACAGTGATTAGGTCAGGCACAGTTGTAGTTATACAGGTAGTAGCATTGTTTCAGAACAAATATGTTGAACATAAGATTTACCTGTGCAGCTATTTGGGTTTTGGTTTTAAAGATGCCATCTTTTTCTCAGAAGAGAGATGGTGGATTTCAGCTTAAAGTTTTCTGAGTGTCCAGTACGCAACTTCATCATATCTTTATTTTAGAGGGGAAGAAGTTTTTGAGTAACCTAGCTTTTGAAAAAGAAATAAAAATACATCACAAAGCCAAGCATAAAGATGGTACCATTGTTGCCCAGGCAAAATACAAAAAAAACAGATATTGGAGAAGAGGTGGTCAAGACAGGGATTACTAAAAATACACATCTCCAGGAAACACTAAGGATGAGGAAAAGAAAAGTAGCTGTCACACAAAACTAACATTGGAAGGTAAAAGTTTCAGTTCTACGGTGGGTAAACAGGTCTGAGCAAGCACTGTACAGCACCCCAAGAGGATGCTCTGACCAAGTAGCTGCCAGCTCAGGGAATCAGAATTTTACTGGAAACCATACATTTGGCCCAAAGCAAGCCAGTGGAATGTCACAGGGCAACTGGTGTGAGTGATCTTATTAGCCCAGTTGCCGGGATGGTGGTATATAAGAAGATGGAAGTGGGTGCCTAAAATACAAATTTAAATCCTTCTCTTTCCAGCATCAGGTAGTACTGGTACTCCATGGAAAGGAAATACATGTGAGTATGTGTGCATGCTGTCGTGGTTGGAATTAGGACATTAATCCATAGAAAACTATGCATTAGTAGTCTTGCTGCTTGGAGAGCTTGCTCTTCCTTGTTTGATTTTGAGAGACAGTTCCTATGTATCTTAATGCAAGATTTTGAAAAGAAGGAAGGGGTAGCAGCCTGTAAGCAGAGGAGAAGATACTAGAAAGCTTAGCTGAAAGTAGAGGTTGCAGGATATTGGGCCTCCAAGCAGATTTTGCAGTGATAGCCAATGCAGTGCTGCTTGTTTTAGCATCTGTGTAATTTCCATAGGCTTGTCCTTGAGCTTTTTTGTAGCTATCCCCTCCTATTTATCTCTATTTAGAACTCACTGGACAAAAATATGGATTGTAAAAGTACACTTACCTAGCAGGACAGACATATTATGGTGATTAATTTGTGTGGGAATGTAAGAGTGTCTGCTTATAAGAAATAAAGCCAGTAATCACAGTTTGAAGTAAGCTTTAGGGGATAACGGTTTGTCTGCAACTTGTAATTACATTGACAAGAGGTGGTGGTAAGTTGGCAGATACAGTTGTTGTCAGAAATCTTTTTAAAGAGACTTGTCCTGCAGTTGCTAGGATTGCCATGGCAACGGGCTGCTGAGGAAAATGTTTGTGGGTGGGAAAAATGTTACTTGGCATTCAGAAAGTTGAGATGGTGTAAGAAATATAAGGTTCTATCAAAAAACTTATTTAGAATTTGCCAGTGTTCCATAATTTGAGCTTCTTGAACATTTTAAAGAATCATCTGAGGGCATGCCCTCCCACATACCAGCACAGTATCAAAGTCTGTTTTACAGTTAGATCATTTAGGCAGGTCTATGCTGTTAACATATATAGTAATATGAAATGAGGTGTTCTTCAAAATATTCCAACTTTATAGTAAAGTGCCTCATCCTGAATTATATTGATACCCTGATCTGCCCTGTTTTTTGAGCTACAGGTATGCTGTGAATCTGATTCTAAATAAGGAAGAGGGCTTTTTTCTTTTTGGCACACGGTGTTGAGGCGCTTTTTTGAATAAAGTTGTCCTGACTGGCCTGAGCAGGAGGCAGCCAGGAGATTCTCTATTCCCTTTCTGTATATTTTGCACATCACAGGCATTTTTGGGGTGGTATGCCTGAGAAGAAAACAAGCTGGGATGTAATCAAAGCCGTGCAGGTGAGGATGGAGTTGATGTGGGATCTAGTGGAGCTCTGGTAGTGTACAGTATTGTCACAGTACTCGGAGACAGATGGCTTTACATCACTCCTCTTTGTTACAAAAACAACTTTTAGGGTATAGATCCCAACATTTACTCTAAAGTGCTTTGGCTTATTTATTAGCTAGGAGATTTGAGTTACAATGGGCTTTGACTTTTGTGGGTTTGTAGTGTAAGTGCGCATTGTAAGATGTAAGTGTATTATAATATGGTTTTTGGATGGAAAAGACTTTTCAGTTAGTGATGGGGAAAACATACAAAGGGTTGTCTGCAAATTATGTGATTTTTTAAAAATTAATTCCTCTTACTTAATTTTTAAAAGGAAAATATTCTAGCTTCTACCTGACTGCCAGACACCAGCTTGGGACAAATAAGATCAGATCAGAGGCTATCTGAAGAGAAACAAGTTCTCAGAAGGAAGAATATAAATCTCTTGCAGAAGCAGAAGAAATTAGAACTGAAGGTTCAAGAGCTGAAATGTGAACTTCAGGTATACGGCAATGCAAAGTGGATACTTCTCACTGAGAGTGTTTCTGGCAATAATTCTGTCTTATGGTTTCATCATTCTGCAGTTCAGCTCTGAACTGTTCTTTGGAATAGAGAAGGATTAAACTGTTTGAGTGAAGACTTGTCTTGCCCTGGTGCAGGGAGATGCTGTCAATATGTGTTAGCACAGGTTTTTCAGTCCAGGTTGGACCTGAGCTCCCCTTGGTGTATGTGCTGGCTTGCCACCATACTCATGCAACTTCTGGTTTGTATGAAGGTGTTCAGGTTAACCACTTGGTGATTAAAAACGTGCTTTGTGAGTAAGGGTGTGATCTTTGCCTTTCTTTTTTTTTGGTTTTTTTTCCTCACTTAGAGGGAAAACCAGTTTTCTGTGTGTGGGGCTGAAAATCTGTAAGCATCACAGAATCATAGCAGCTGTGGAATTTTAGAACTGCATAAAAATGAGTCTTTCCTTAACTGCTGCTTAATAGAAAGGACGCTTATGTTTCTTTCCAGGGGAGATTCCTGGCATTATAAGGGAAGCACAGTACTTCGTAATAGTTACTGGTAGGCTTAAAAAGGCTGTGAATGGTTTTAAGTGTGATAAACAGCAGAAGTATAAAGAGATTGTGTGAAAAGATGTTACGTATTCATGAATTTGAAAAATGTTGTGCAAACTCTTATCCCTACAGATATAAATGGAAAATCTGCCATTTTGTAAATCCTTTTGACATCCCCAAACCCCAAATTTGCACACAACTGTTTCTTTTCCTTGCAGACTAAAACTAGTCATGACTAGCTTTGCTACTTGGTTAACTTTTCCTAGAACATCTATTTTCTACATAAACTAACTTGTCATTGCACAGATTCTGCATCCACTGAAGAGATGATATTTGTTCTATGCAAACTAAATTAATAAGCAACAGAATACATGATTGCAGCTAAAAAAAACCCATTTAAATGCAAGAAAATCTTAGAAGCATTTCTTACATATAGTGTGATGATTTTTAAAAAACACCCTGTTTTCTACAAATTTTATTTTCTGTTTTGTGTTGATTGCAAGTAAACTATTTTAAAAGAAAAGGTTATGGATATTCTTTTAAGTAAGAAAATATTTCCTTCCTGCCAAAAACGCTGTGGTAGGCAACGATTTATTTCAGAAGGGTGCTGTGTTGTGGTGGCTTTGAGGGGTACTTCAAAAAACACCCTGCCATCATAAGACTTTGGATGTATATCTGCCAATACAAACCTATTTATATCTCTATATGTTTTTTTTGTTCATTTGTTGGCATTTCTGGTTGTGTTTTTAATATCATGTGAGTCCGAAAGGCTAAAAACATTTACAGTCTGTGTTTCGTTATCTGAAGTGGAGTTTATAAAAACATCTCTGTGGAATCAGAGCAGGAGTTTTCATATTTAGGTTGCCCCTGGAGGAATATAGCCTGATGTGGTGCTTGGGCTTTTTTTGGGGTCAAGAGTATTCCTTATTTTTTCTTAAGGATACTCCTTGTAGGAAGGTCAGGCTGGTTGTAGGTAAAATGAGAGGTTTGCTGCACTATTTAGAGGTGTGGCTGTGATGGGAGTGAGGAGTTTAATGGGACCCTGGACTTGATTTCCCTGAATTAACAGGTAGGAATTTTTCAACAGGGAAAGAAAATAATTCCATGTTCTCTGAAGATTTGCTAGTAAATGTGGAGTAATTGAAGAAATCCACTACTGAAATGAGAGGAATAAAATTAACTATTAAGCCCTACAATGCTAATAATAAAATTATTCTCGTTGGTTTGTATGTCTTTCTAGGCATTTTGTTAGTGTTTTGAGGAGGGCCAGCTCTGTGTGTGTTTATCTCTAGTTTTCAAAAGCCTAAATTGTGGTCTGTGTGTTAGTCAGCCTTGGCTGACTGTTGTGACTTTTGATCTATCTTTCCCTGACATTGTTGAAACACTGCTCCAAAAATAATAAATAATTCATAGAGAAGGAATCATCTAAGAAAACTGAAAGCTTTGAACAATGCACTTACATTGGAATGAAAAATCAAGAAGTTTGACTGTTGGGGTGAAGGCACTGAAAAAAGTTAGTTTTTTTTTTCTAAAATAATATTATTAATCATTGCCTTGCTTATCCCTTGAAGCCATGCATGCTTTTTTGTTTCCCAAAAGTTTTGTTTTCTTAATTTTCTAAGAAAAATGCGGTGTTCTATGAAGAGGGGAGTATTTCCCAAAGGCATGACTGAAACCTCCGTGTTTTAGGAGCTAACACTGCAATTTGCATGATCTTTTTCTCAGTGTTTATCAGATAACTTTGGTTCACTTCTGTCCTTTTACCATCACTGTAGCAAGAAGAGTTTTCGATTCCATCTTCAAGGAAGACGCTAATTATAAATTGTTAGAAGTAACTGGGTAGTCAGAGTTCCTTGGGTATCTCTATTGCTGGGAGAGGTGTATGTCTTTGGGTAGCCCAAATTACCCTTCTACTTTTAAAGAAGAGACAAAAGTGCAGTGGGAAGAAGACTTGAAATAGACTTGAAATAGAAGTGACCATCATCTCCCTAAGAAGGAATGTGTAAATTGGTACATGTGTTTGTGGAAGACAAGTTAAAAAAAAAAATACCAAGGGAGGGAATAGAACAAAAGGAAAATTTGGAGCAGGAGGGAATTTCCATGTATGGTCTTGTCAATACTGAGTTATCATGAATGTGTTCTTGATCCTTCCTCACTTAAAAAAAAAAAAAAATTAACAGCTGAATGAGACAAATTGCTGCTGTTACTTTTTGAAAGAAACTAAGTTATTAACATGACAGGTGCTATCTCAAAATCAAGAGGTCTGAATAGTGTTAATTTTTAAACTGCCTGAGTTGTGAAAAAAAACTTCTCGTAAAATGTTGTTTCTTCCTTATAACTTAGGCACATAAAAAAGAATAGTCATTTTGGGAAGCAGCTCTCACAAGCCATAAAAGTGGTTCCAGATGTTTCTCTCACTGTTCTGTGTTCCTTGGAAAAGTTGCAGAGGATTTGGACAGAATATGACTTGGCTTAAAAGAGGATTCAATTATGCAGAAATTTGGTAGGTTGAAATTATTTTTTTTCTCAGAAGCTATAATTTGACAGGTATTGACAGAGTATTTTAGTTTTGTAAGTGTAGCTGGACAGCATGAGCACAGCATGGAAACATTTCTCCTTTGCTAGACAACATTGAAGGCTTTGCTACCTTTGCCACAACTGATGTATTTGTGGCAGGTTTGTTTTTTTTTTGTACGTGTGTGTTAAACCTACACTTTTTGACACCCTTGATTTTACAAAGAAATATAAGAAAATCAGAATATGGTAGCTTAAAGGGTTCTGTGCTGTAATACAAAGTACTTCGGCTCTGCAACTGCGTTGCCTGGGTGCAGTGTGTGCTTCCCTCCTATGGAGAGCACAGGGGGAGCGGTGTGGAAATGCGGTGCTATAGGAAGATGGACTTGTACAGGGAAAAGCTGCCATCTAGTGCAACTTCTCTGGAGCCGCAGATCTGAAGGAGCCTGCGTGGGTGTGCAGGCTTGGCTGTGTTGCCAAGGATGGGTATGTGCTGCTTTTGGGAACGGGAAGTGTCCTCGGTCTGTAGCAGGATTTGTGGTAAGGCAGGGAAGGGATGGTAGTTGTGCATCTAGGAAAATGTGTTGTGGCTATTTTCAGGTACAACTTAAACCATTTTAAACGTGTTTGCTTAAGAAGCTTTGTTGTGTTATACTGAATTTAACAGCTTATGAAGTGGAATAGAAAACACTGAGCCATGAGGAGAACCCAAGTAAGTTCTGTTTTTGTTGCTTGTGTATGGAAAACATCTAGAGCATGGCATGCATTTGATTCCTGTTGGCGAAAAGAAATTCCTTTGTTTACTAAAACCCAGGTCAAATGTTTAAACTTGACCACATTGAGATAAGCGTTAATAAGCAGATGAAATTTTAATGTTGCATCCTGTATAGCGGAGTAGTGTGCAGAAGAATAGCTAGATTGTGAGTTACCCAGGAGTCAGGGCTGCTTAGGGATTCACTTGCACAATCTTTCCTTGTACAAATTCCTCGTATAATGATTCCATGTGAGATAGTAGCACTTGTAGTTTTCTAGAGATTACATGGGACTGTAGGAATAGATACATTTCCGGAAGAATTTGTAATGGGAAGTTAGAACTCGTTTCACTAGGACGGCTTTCTGCCTAAGGTGGTGCCTCTTTCTCAAATGCAGTTTCAGTGCTCCCCCTCCTCCCCTCGCATAACAAGAGAAGTTCTCAGCCTTGCTCTTTGGTATGCAGAGAGATAACATGTTTGTAGACACGTACAAGGCCTCCTTGGGCCAGAGAGAGAGTGGGGGAAAAGAGAGAGAAGATAGAAAAAGCCTTGGAGGAGGAGAGGCTTTGCCTTTTGCCCCTGGGGCCTGATGCACGCAGGATCTCAAAAAAGCGATCCTTGCATCTGAAATAAACCTTTTTTTTTTTAATCCTTTCACTGTCTTGGCATTCTTGGGAAGAATACCTACATATGTTTACCTTACAGGATGATTGAGCTCAGTGGGGTCCATAAGTCTGATTGAACAACATCCCATAAGTAAAGCAAAGCCATCTTAGAAATCGTTTTCACCCCACTGGACAGTTTTGCTTTGACTCAGTTGAGCTGGAGATTGAGGAAAAGAAAACTGTTAATGTGGACCAAAGTTAGGATGAATGCAGATTCTGTGGTGTGACTAATTAGTCTCAAAGGTATTTATTTAATAGCGGAGATGGTTTCTTTGGTGCCATTCTGGTGACACTGTGTGTGTGAGGTATTTGGGCTTGTGGTTTTGTTTTGGTTTTGCGTTGCCAACCCCAGCAAGCAGCATTCTTCCATGACAAACATAATGAAAAAGTGTTTCATTCTTGAAGACTGTTTGAGTGATGGACTAATTTCTTGGAATATGTTAGATGATCTGGACATTGTCACCCATTTCAATTGTGAAATGACTAACAATGAAGTCATGTCTGCATGATGAGTTGTAGTGTGTTACACTGCCAAAATACTGCTGAAAGGAGCTTACAGCACTTTGCTGCTTCTGGTAGCTCCACAAGTATTTGTGTAGCCCTCTTGTGTGATCAATGTGGCCTCATGTGTGGCTTAAAAACTGTTTTTGTTCAGAAACCAATCCCCTCCACACCCCTCCAGGCTGCCCCACCCATTCTGACATTATTCCTGGTTGCCTAAGATAAGGTGCAAAGGAATGGTGGATAAGGTGCAAAGGAATGGTGGCATGAAATCATAACTTTCCAAGAACATGCTGTTGTAAAAAAAAATCCTGCTATCTGAAGTGGGGAAGTTCTCGTAGCAGTGTCACAAATATTTTAAATCGGGAAAATTAAAGAAGACAGAAGTTCTACAGGATGTCAGGTATCCCCCAGAGTGCCCAAGTGCTGCAAGGTGTATGCAAGTGGGAATGTGTTTGGAAGTGTAGAGCTCCCTGAAGAATTAATGTAGTTTTCAAGATAATTAGGTAGCAGCTGGAAGCAGGACATCTTAAGGGTCTTGTGGAGTTTGTTTTAAGTATTTTGAAGTCTTTGGCAAGCAAAGGATACAGAACAAGAGTTTTATTGGTATCATGCTAGTCTTGCAGTGCCACACAAATTACAGAATTACAGAATCACAGAATTGCTGAGTTGGAAGGCACCCACAAGGATCATTGAGTCCAACCCTCAGCCCTACACAGGACCATCCCCAAGAGTCACACAATGTGCCTGACAGTATCATCCAAATGCTTCTTGAACTCTGTCACGCTTGGTGCTGTGACCACTTCCCTGGGGAGCCTGTTCCAGTGCCCAACCACCCTCTGGATGAAGAACCTTTTTCTAATATCCAACCTAAACCTCCCCTGACACAACATCAGGCCATTCCCTCAGATCCTGTCACTGCTCACCACAGAAAAGAGACCAGTGCCTGCCTCTCCTCTTCCCCTCACAAAGAAGCTGTAGACTGCAATGGGGTCTCCCCTGGGTGTCCTCTTTGCCAGGCTGAACAGACCAAGTGTCCTCAGCTGCTCTTCATACGGCTCCCCCTCAAGGCCCTTCACCATCTTCATTGCCCTCCTTTGGACGCTCTTTAAGAGCTGAATATCTTTCTTATATTGCTGTGAAAAAACCTGCCACAATATTCAAGGTGAGGCCACACCAGTGCAGAACAGAGTGGGACAATCCCTTTCCTCAACCGGCTGGCAATGCTGTGCCTGATGCCCCCCAGGACACGGTTGGCCCTTCTGGCTGCCAGGGCACTGCTGACTCGTAGTCAACTTGCTGTTGACCAGGACTCTCAGGTCCCTTTCCATAGCACTGCTTTCCAGCATCTAATTTCCCAGTCTGTCTGTACATCTGGGGTTGACCCATCCCACGTGCAGAATCCGGCACTTTCCCTTGCTGAACTTCACCTGATTGGAGATTGCCCAGTCCTGTAATTTGTTGAGGTCTCTCTGCAGGGCATCCCTGCATTTGAGGGAGTCAACAGCTCCCCCCAGTTTTGTGCCATCTGCAAACTTGCTCAGTATTCCTTCCAGTCCTGCTTCCAAGTAATTTTTGAAAACGTTAAAGAGCACAGGGCCCAAGATGGAACCCTCTGTGCTCGACCCATGAACCAGTTGTTCACCCAGCCCATTATGTGTTTATCCAGCTGTGTGCTGGACATTTTGTCCAGAAGGATCCTGTGAGAAGCTGTATCAAAAGCTTTACCAAAATCCAAAAAGATGACAGCAACTGGCTTCCCTTGATCAACTAAGTGGGTTACCTTGTCATAAAAGGAAATCAGATTTGATAAGCAGGACTTTTCTCTCATGAAGCTGTGCTGGCTGTGACCGATGACTCTGTTGTCTTTCAGGTGTTTTTCAATAGCTCCCAAAACAATCTTCTCCATAGCTTGAATTGAGACTGACAGGCCTGTAGTTTCTGACATCCTCCTTCTTGTCCTTCTTGAAAATTGGGACGTTTGCCAACTTCTTGTCATCTGGGACCTCTCCAGATTCCCAAGACCACTCAAAAATCATCAAGAGAGGTTTTGCAATGACATCAGCCAGCTCTTTGAGGATTCTTGGATGAATCCCATCAGGCTTCATAGACTTGTAGGGATCCAGCTGGAGCAGCAGATCCCACAAAATTTCACGTTCGACTGGGAGTTGATAATTCTCACAGTCATGGTCCTCTCAGTTTCTCCACTGAGATGCCCTTGGTCCATCATCTGTGTTGAAGACAGGCAAAGAATGTGTTAAACACCTCTGCCTTTGTCTGTCCTTGTTTGTGAGGTGACCATCCTCATCCTGTAATGGGCTGATGATATTTCTATACTGCCTATTGCCATTCATGACTAGGCTTCGCGAACAAAGATTTGGGAAGGGCTCTACCCACATTTGCTACAAGTGCACTGGTGGCTAAAGAGGCCAATGCCAGATAGACAAGTCTGGTTGCAAAAGGCACAGTGGAAAGACCCCTTGGATGGTATCGGCAAGACACGATTCTTTCTGCGTTGTCTTTTCTCATTAGAGGAAAGACAAAAGACAACTATTGCCATTAATGTATTTGAAAAAACTCTTTTTATTGTCCCCCACATTTCTGGCAGCTTCAACTCCAGCTGAGCTTTGGCCACACAAATTTTCTCCCTACAGTGGCAAGCAGCATCTCTGAACTCCTCCCATGTCACTTGACCTTGCTTCCACTGGGCATACACCTTCCTTTTTGCCTTATTTCCAAGAGAAGACCCCTGTTCAGCCAAACAGGCCTTCTGTCTTGCCTGCTTGATTTCTGACATTTGGGAATTGCCTGCCCTTAGGAGTTTGTGTTTGAAAAGTGACCAGCACTGATGGACACCGGCACCTGCAAAAACATTTTCCCAGGGGACCTTACTTAGTAATTCCCTGAGCAGCCTGAGGTCTGCTCTCTTCATGTCCAGTGTTGAGGTTTTGCTGGCACTTTTCCTCCTGTCAACAGAGATTTTAAAGTTGATGGCTTTGTGGTTGCTGTGGCCAAGATGGGCACCAATCTCCACTTCTCTCATGAGATCCACTCTGTTGACAAGCAGCAGATCAAGGAAAGCATCTTTCTAAGCTGGCTGCCTTATAACCTGTTCCATAAAGTTGTCATCCAGGTTTTTAGGAATCTTCTGGCCTTGGTTGTATCAGCTGTGTGATGCTCTCAGTTAATTTCTGGCATATTGAAGTCCCCCATAAGGACAAGGGCACTTGACCTGGAAGTTTCCCTTAGTTCCTCAAAGAATAATTCATCAGCGCCACCATCCTGGCTGGGAGATCTATAGCAGACTTCCACGATGACATCCATGTTATTTCTTTGCCCCTTGATTCTTACCCAGAGGCTCTCAACTGTGCCAGTGCCAACTGTGAGCTCCATACATTCTAAGTCTTCTATTACATACAGTGCCACCCCTCTGCCTCTCCTGCCCTGCCTGTCCCTACAATGCGCAGTGTAGTGATGTAACTTTTTATTTTGCTGACAGTAATTTTGATTTTTAAGAATCTCTTTTCTGTGCTGTACCATGCCGCAGAGTCTTGGCTACTGTATTTTCAAATACAAGAAATGTCCAAGATGCACACAGTAAATGGTGTGCTTGTTAGTCTGCCTGTCATACCCGCTTAAATTATACTGACTACAGGTTGGCTAGCAGACATTTTTGATAGTGCAACCAAGTGTGATGATGTCACTGACTTCATTTTCTGCTCAGTTAAAATGAAGTTCATGTAAATCCGGTGTTCAGGAAGTCCACTGAATCCAGACAGGAAGTCCAGTGAACCCGAACAGATGGATGAGATAGTTGGCTATTAAACTAAAGCAGAGTGTTTAATTCTGCTCAATCTGTCAACCTAGCTGCCAAAATTGGCTTTACTAAGTTATATCTTGCTGTTCAGTTGTCTAAGCAATGTGCTCTTCTTTTAACCTCCCTGAAGCGCTGGTGCCCTCTCTCACTGTCACGAGGCTCATTATTTTTAAGCTCTTGGAAGTGAACATCTTATCTTGGCTTGAGGAAATGTAATGCATCTCAAACAACTATCCCAGGTGTGAGTACACCCACTAAAAGTTTGAGTGCAGAGTAAGTGGTATTATTTCAGTTTTAATTGTCTGTGTTTTCTTAGTTGGTTTATTGTGGTTTAACTGGGTCTCTCCTAGATATTGTCCCAAAAATGAAGATGGGAGACTGGAACATTTTTTTTTATAAGGTATTTATGGAAATGCTTAAAATACATTCAAAACTAATAATAGAATTTTATGTAAATTCTGTGTCCAAAGAGGAATGTAGTGGTGATGATGACTTTACCAGCTCTCCTATAGAAGTATTACTTAAAGGATGGCAGCTTTACAGATGAAAAAACAGGGGTAATTAGAAGTTCCCTTGACTGCAGTGTAAGTAGGTACTCGTAGTGATAGGGTGTAATATACATGCTGACTTCTCAGACACTGTAGTTAGTGTTGTATGGATTTGTTGCTTATTTGTGATTTCAGTTTTGGAACTTATTGGAGACTGTAGTGTACATATTCAGCTTTTTTTTTTCTTGGTGGGAAAGAAGAAAAAATAATCATGCTAATGTTTAAAAAAGGGGAACTATTCAGTTGCTCATTAAAAAAAAAAAATGGGGGTTGCTGGGATAATTTGAACAATTTAAGGATGGATGTTGATGCCAGACCTATCTTAGATATTCCATATACTGCAAAGTAGTAACTTGCACTAAAGGGAGACAAAAACTGCTGTTGTGTACTTTCATTAGCATCGCTGTAGTTATCAGAAACAAGATGGTGAGCCAGATTGGAAGTGATATTACCAAGTCTGGTGGTTGGTTGTGTGGTGCTGTTTGTGCAGTTCTTTGTGTTGTGGGTTTTGTTGTTGTGGGTTTCTTTTAATGAACTAAATTTTGTAATTTGAGAAGCATTTAGTCTGTTTTAAAGGAATTTAATTGTAATGTTTACTACTGTGAAGAGCTCGCATCTTTGTAAAGCAGACTATTAAAATACTGCTTATGTACTTAATGTTCTGTGAAGTTATCTAATGGGCATTAGCTGAGCCATGAAGTGTCCCATGTACACAGGTTGGAAGGAGATTTGTCCTGTGACTCCTGAGCCATCTGTTGAGCTCCTTGATAGTCATTTAATCATGTGTAGACTGTTAAATTTTCTCTAGTGCTTTAACTGGTATTAGCTGGAGTTTGGTTGCCTGGTTGAATCTTCTGCTACATTAAGTGTCTATTGCTCTAGTTTTTGAAGTAACATTCTGTAGAAGTATTGGAAAGTGTTCTTTATGATGAGGGGTCCTTATTATTTTTTATGCAGCATGTTACAGAATTGGTTTACAAACTAGCTCTTGCCTTATGCAGGAAAAACAGCAGGAAGTCTCCAGTGATGGCCAAAAGTGCAGGAGGACCTATTTAAATCTTTTCTGTTGTTGTTGTTTCATGGTTTTAAGTGCTAAAGCAATACATTCTGTTCACCTTCTGTAGTACAACTTAATCTAGTGATTTTTATTATCCAGGCTATTAATGTGTGGCTGAATTACAGCAACTGTTCAATTGCTAATCTGTTTATAAAGCAGTGTGTGCTACAACTTGGGGTTTTATTTTGGAGCTTGTCCATCTTTCAATTTCCAACCACTGGATCTCATTCTGTCCTTGTCTGTTACTGGTGAAAGATTTCTAGTCTATGGTGGATACTTAAAAATTGCTGATTACGTCCATTTCTAAGATTTCATTAAACTAAATTGAAGACCACATTTGAACCTATGTTTGCGTTTACATATTGATATTACAGATACATTTATATTATTTATTTCTTGTTAGCAGGAGGTGTTCATTTGAGTGTTCTTTGGCTCCATGGTATTAGTGCTATGATTAACTCTTCTGTTGTTTTCTGTTTCCTCACTAATAATTGCCCTCCGCGCCAGACTTTCCAAGGTTTTGAAGCAGCATGTGTGTGTGTGATAGGGAAGGGAACACATATCAGGACACCATGTTATAGCTACTTCAATCATTTTACTTTTTTTTTTATTTTTGGAGATGGATGTAGAAGGAAGTAGCAAATCTTTACAGCAGGTCCATAAAGCTGCAGCTTGATCTTCCATGTTCATATGAGTTTTTATATACCTATGAGCATGTTGAGTTAAATCACTCTGAAAAGAACATTGCAAGCAATCCAAGTATGGATTTTTAACTTCTTTCATCCACTTCAAAAGGTTTGGTTTTGGTAAGTCTGATAGGTACCTTGTCTGTTATGAATATGGGGTTCCTCTCCTATTAGCAGAACCAATCCTGCCAGTCATTCAAGGGAAGCTTTGTTTTGTTTTGTTTCTAGAAAATTATGTTTAGTTTAATAATTTTTCTGCAGATAATCAGTAGGAAGTTCACAGTTCATCTGCTTTTCCTACTAGAAGACAAGGATTTTTTTATTCCAGAGCATTCTTTTCCAGTAAGAAAACTTTTGCAGTCTGATTTTGTGGATGTAATTTTGGATGTATGAAAGTGTGGATAATCCAAATTCTAATTTCTGTAATACAATGAAAAACTACAGGACAACCAGGGCATTTTAAATTTTCAGTGGCAGTTAAGATTCCCACTGTTATCAACAGTCATGCAGAAACCGTTTCTTTAGTTTTCTGATCATGTAGTCATATCTTTACACTGTGAAGGGTGCTGTATTTGTGCAAGGTAGTCATGCCATAGGAGTGGAGGTTAAAAAAATTAGCTTTTTCACTCATTCCTAGTCAGGCATGTATTGTGTTACTCATGCTTCGCAAGGATTAATGCTTTTTTTGTATCACTTTCTACATTCTTTGGGTGAGAGTTGCTGACTTGCTTTTCTTTCTGCATAGGATGAAAGAGATGAATTGTTTATCAAGCAAGATGAGGTGCAGCAGAACTTGTATTCAGCAGTGAAAGAATTAATTTTGGAAGTGGATCAAGTGCCCTCTCTGGGCCCTCAAGAGTGTTACAGGTAAGGAGATTGCTTCGATCAGTATAGATTCTGAAACTCTGAGAATCTGTGGAGGGCGTTTCTTCAATGTTAAACATTTTATAGTTGGAGACTGACAGCAGCAGATGAAGTTTTAGGTAACACTTCCAAGGTAAGGTGTACGTCTGGCTCTTGTAATACTTAATTTACTTGTGATCTTGGTCTCCTAGATGTTTTGTTTCTAGAAGGAAATTATTATCTAGATCCTGGATTTAGGGAACACCTTTTCCTTTATGGGACTGTGTTGGGTGATTAACAAGACTTCACTAAGCACAGAATATGTAGTAGAAGATGGCTGCTAATGAGAGAACCTACAATTAAAAAGTCAATGCAGTTATCCTGTAAATCGTGGTCGTGTGTTGTGTGATTTGAGTCTATGCTTTCCTACCAAGAGTCTCTTTCCCTCTCAGACAACCCAAAACCAGAAAGTAAGGATGTAGGTAGAGAAATAGGCTCTGTAGAAGCAGTAAGGACTTTTGAAGAGGACTTTGCCAATAGAAGTGTTACTGGACTTTGCTATTAGAAATAATTTATTTTCTTCTTTTTAACATCAGAAATATTACTTGCCTTAATTTTGACTGTGCAAATGTGTGTGGAGGGGTGAAAAAGGTTGTTGGTATTTGGGCAGCTTGTCTGTACAAATTCCAGAGATTTATTCATCCACACATATATGAGATTGAATTCTTATGAATAATCACCAAGATTGCAGTCTGCACATAAGTTTGTATAAGACTGGAGCAGCATTAATAAATTGAAGCATTCAAATTTTCATGGAATTACTCAATTTCCAATGGAATTATTTTTCAATGCTATTAATAAAATGTTTCATACTCTTTTTTTTTTATAGTCTGATATACAGATTGGTATCTAATTGTAAAAAGATACTGCATAGGTAGCATTTCATGGTTTTTTATCACTAGAGGCATTGTGAAAGTCCTGTTCCTTCAGATAGAGGAAAGTTGTAGTGTGTTGTTTGTATGATTTTTTCTGTTTTGTGTTGGTTTTGGGATATTTGTGTGAGTGTTTAAAGGCTATACTGTGTGAATCCACTAGGTGGTAGGCATCAAGCATCTTCTACATAATTGTACAGAAGTGAAATTTTAAGAGTGTTTTGAAAATATTTGAAGGGGTACTGAAATGCTGCTGTGTTAATTAAATGTTGAGCTTTAGCTTAACTGTGTCCTCTCTTGGTCCTCTCTTGTGTTTGGAGCTGGAAGACCAAAATAGCTTTCCCATATAGGGAAAGTGAAATAAGTGTTTACCAAATATTAATGAGAACCTTGTTTGCAATTTTATAGAGCTGAAGTGGTCACGCTGTGCTGTCCTAGAGAAACAGATATTTTTCCATATCTCTCAGAGGAGAATTTTGGGAGCTAATGCGCCTTTCACTGAGCCTGTGTATTGCAAACTCTCTTCTTCATCAGACATCTCTTCTGACTTGTGTTTTATACCTTCTGGTGAGAGTTGTTCAGTTCAAACAGCTTCAGCCACAGTTGGGTTCACCTGGCTAGGACTGAAATAACCAGTTGATAAGCTCCATGCTTTCCAAGTGACAATACTGCATTGCTTGAGAGGAAAGCCGAGAGTGGGGGGTATACACATAAATTGCCCTAAAGCAAACTAGGGTGTGAGCTGAACGGTTGTTATCTATCTGTAAGCAAGTTTCCTTTATCTCATGGATAGTGTGTAGTAGCTTGTTCTGCTCCCTTTGAATTACCATGCTTAGAGATAGTGGCTGGGACAAGTGCACATAGGCCACTGAGCCATCTTCATATGGTAGTTTGTTGTCCTGGAAACTGCTTCTGTATCCCTATGCTGATGAAGTTGCTAGTGTTTTAGAGAAATGTGTTTAAAGTATGAAAAATAAATGGGATGAAATAGGACCTAACTTATAGGATTCTTTCCTTGAAGACAGCCTGATGGAATATGTGCAGATACTGTCCTGGTGTGATTACTGCTATTATTTTTGTAAACAGAGTGTGATACTGGATATGAAACTGTTACTGAGCAGTTTTCTCTGCTCTATTACCTACTTTTGTTTGCTGTTAAATTGGTTGATTTTTTTCCTCCCTCCTTCAGACTGTTCCATTTGAACCTGGCTTTTACCTTGCTGTGCCATTTTTCTGTCTATGTGTATCCTGGTGTACTGAATCCCATCTACTCAGAAAAACGTGAGAGAATTCTGTTGTGCACTTGAATGATTTCAATAGCCTCCATAAATTTAGCACAAACCTTTTCCTGGTATTTGCTTGTAGACAAGCAGATTTGTATAAAGCTCATGTCACTTGGCTCAGTAGGAAATTGCTGTTGAAACAGTCTATTATACTGAATGAATGTTGTTCATTGTAGTAGCTATTGTTATGAAAGTGGTTTTGTAATTTTTATAAAATACTGTTCAGTGGAGGATTGGATTTTTTTTTGTTTTGTTTTCGTTCCTTTTTCGGTCACTGTATTTAGTTAATTATAATGTGAGGAAATTCTTATTCTTTTGGCCCCAATCTGAACTTTTGCTGTGGTGTGTCTGTAGTGCTAGGTCTGGTTGCCGGATCATCGTGTGTAGTCCTACAAAATTGTTTAAAAGTCAATTCCTGACCTTCACAGTACCTGCAGCCCTCAGCAAGGGGAGGCCATTGCTGCCCCTTTCCAGCTTCTGGTGGTAGTGTCAGTCATTTTACCTGGTGTTCTCTTTGGTTGCTCAAGGGTCTAAAAGGCTCCTGACAAGTGACTTTACATTCAGAAGAATTCCTCGGCTGCTCACCTTATTTCTTAGTACAAATTCACTTTGTTTTCTGAAGTTGAGCAGCTCTATAAGGAGCATTATAAATTGAACCCCATTTTGTTCTTTATCCTGATGAGTATGACTTTAAAGTCCACAGGGAACAAATAACTAGAATACAAATGACTTCTTATGAGCTGTTAAGCTTTTTGTGGTGCCTTTTTCTTCCATGTTTTCAAGGAACAAAAATCAAACTTAATGATCTCTGAGATCCTTTTCTGCGTTGCATTTTCTGGTAGACATACTGGCACTTGATCTCAAAGCAAAGTGGAATGTAAAATATACTTCACTGGACATAGAAAGAGGCCTTCGTAGTAAAAATAATTTTATACCCGCAGATAGTGCTAACTTTTTCTATGTTAAATATCTTGATTTTTGTAGGTAACACATGGTCACAGAATTCGCCTTGTTTGCAAAACTGTTTTTTCTGGATTTACTTGAAACACAGGAGCTGACAACTTCTCTGGAGATGATTTATGGTCAAGAATCTGAAGCATATGACCCAGGAGGTATTTCAACAGTTCTTTGAGTGCAAGTGTGTTAAAACAAAGAAACTAAATTGTGTCAGAAATAATATGGACACAACTATGCAAATTCTTGCTGACCGGTTCAGTTATATCTTTAAGGTAACACAAACAGTCAATCTTTCTTGTTGGTGAACATGATGAAGTATGACACTGTCTAACCAAGGTAGTGAGCAGTAGGCATTAGTAGGGCCAACTACTTATGGCAGGGAGATTGTGCATATGAACAGTGGCTCTAAATGACAGTGCTTCAATACAGAGGGAAAGGTAATGCATTGAGGAATAGAGTGTTACTTTACCTTCACTCTTGGTACAGTGAGCTGGAATTTATACAAAAGATGTCCTTTTAGAAGAAAGCATAGATGTCAGTACTTTTATGGAAGGATAACTTTGGGTGTGCTTTTCTATCTGTTCACTGTGTGACTGAAATGCTTTAATTAGTCCTTTCAAGAGACCTTTGGATAGAAATACTTTGGATTTTAAAAGGTTCTAGTTCATAAATGCCGCTGAAGGTGGTGATGAGAGATTGGCTGCAAAGAAACAGCCAATCTGACTGGATGTGATGTAGGTACAGGCTGCAGAGAAATATACAATAGATTTTTCTTCCTCATTGAAATGTTGAGTGTGGAGAATTTGTGCAAATAAATTGTCTACTGTTATGCAATACCATTCTGATGCTCTGTGTCTCCCACTCTGAGTTGTAAGAGATTTGGAGCATTGAAGTTGGGTGTGGGTTATTTCTCATAAAAGGAGATGGGTGGTGCAAGTGGATCACCATCCATTGAGTTCTGCTTATGAAGAAAATGCGAAGTAGGAAGGTAACTGTGACTTTCCTGTCTCTGTGCTTTTGCTCAGTTTAGGACTCCTAGTCTTCCTGGAAAGACTGTCAGCTCCTCTCTCCCCATTCCTGCAGGCCCAGTTTCCCTATCTCCCTGTCACACTTGCATGTAAATGTTCTCAGTTTGTGTCAACATAGCCTTCCTGCCCATGTATATTGTACGTAATGCACAAGGGTTGTGCCCTTTCCTAGTGTATAAGTTTTCTACTCTTGCATTTCATTGTACCCAGAGCATTTACTGTGGCCAGATGCTGTTATGAGTATCAGTGTTCCTTGACCAGATGATAAATGCTGTTCAGCAGCAGTGTAGACTTGGTGCATGTCATGTGGAGTACAATGTTAATGAATATAATTACTTACAGATGTTTATAATCATGTCAGTTATTAGAGGGGGCAAACAAACTGGCGGGTGGGTTTCTGTGATTGCAATTCAGAGTGCTATTCTGCATACATGAAAGTGGCTCGAGTTTGTCAGTATAGTGATGAACTTTGGTTTACCTATTTCAAATCTGAACTTTTCTGCAAATGCTTCAGAGGTAGAGGAAATGTACAGACTTTTGTCATGGGTTGGTAAAGCACTGGTAGATAGACTGAGAAAGGAATTTTCGTTTATCCTTCTTAATCGCTTTGACTTTTGATATGCAATTTTTCTGTTGCAATTTAAGTTCTACTTCCTTTAAAAAAGAAATACTGAACAATCATGTAAAGGAAATGTTTCTTTGAAGTGTTTGCCTTCTCTTTATTTTAAATAGATACTCCTTTTCCTCTCTTTCTGAATCCAAATTAATCTACTGTAGCATCTGTATATATATACCGTGAGAGTATATATAATAGGAAATGGGTCAATGGCAGACAAGGAAATTTTCAGAACCTGTATGACTTCTTTCCAGTATACAACTCCAGGCTTTTGGAAGAAACATTGTTTGAACTTGCATTGTTAAAGTTTTTTTTAGCTCCATTAAGGTTAAGACAATAAAATATTTTCAAGTATTTAGTGGAATACACAAGCTTGATAGGTAAATTAACAAGGTGGGGTTTGCAGGTTTCTGTTATGACTGGTATCTTGCATGTTAAATACAGGACCATATTTCTTTTTAAATTCTGCTTGCCAGTGTAATATTTCTTCTTCTCTAGATATCAGCAACAAAACTTTGCTAAAAACAACATTCAGTGTGATTGTAAGTTGATTTTACTGATTTTTCTCTGGCACCTTCTGCACCTTGTATCTTAAAGCAAAGTTATTTCTGACTTTTATGAAAGCACTTATGGTTTCCTGGTGAAATCTTTAACCTTATTTCACACTCGATAAACTGTGAAATAGATCCCAGGATGTGTCTTTATGTCAGGTTGTACCATATAGGAATGGAAATCTCATGTACCACTGTGTGGGCAGCACATGTTGATTTTTGACATGAAACTCAGGAGGATTTGGATTCTTCTTCTTTGGTTTCATTTTTGATAAAAAACAAAATGAGATTAGAAAAATAAAACCCAGTCAAGGCAAGAACCAACTTTATTTTTGCCTAGTGAATCTTAACTCTGTTAGTTCTAGAAATCTGTATATTACTCAAGTGTGAGGTGAGATCTGACTCAAATCCTGATTAGATTTCCAGTAGTGCTAAAACTCTTTGCATTTCTTACTTGGTTTTGCTCTCTGCTTGCTAATTTCTTATTTTCAATTGCAAGGCTGATTGTTTCTTTCTGCTCCTTGAAGTGTTGTAACCTGATGTTAGAAGCATTTTCTGACTTAGATGAAGTGGTTGGCAGTGCAGATTAAATTCTCAAAAAGGTTGAGTTGACTGTTTCTGAAGAACTGGATATAGAATTAAATGTAACTTCTAATCATACCAGCTCTGTCACGACTTTTGTATATTTTACACATATTTGATTTCAGTTTAAAACTGTTCTTAATGTATCAGACAAGATATTTGCTACAAGGCAGCATTTTTCTTTGATTTTGTGGAAATGTGGTAGAAAGCCGCTTGGGTTGCTCCCCAGAGACAAAAGAATGTATTTTCCAGGCAACAGGCAGAAAGGACAGCGTCACATTACAAGAACTTAGCTGTATGTACAACTGGCTTAAATAAGAAATATTGGGAAAAGTGTTTCTTCCCTCTCTATATGCAGAGAAGCTTTCTTTGAGCCTTACCAAGTTTTGGTGCTTGTGTTGAAAATACAGGTGAAAATTCTGATTAAAATAATGGGATTTCCTCTCTGGGGGAATGTGTATGGATTAACTTACTTTTTCCAGTGTTAAGAGATGAACAGTTTTTCATCACTTTCATTTTACATGGGGCAAGTGTTCTTGCCTTACTGATAATAATTGTCTATGATAGTGTTAGCCTTTTTCTCAGTTATTTATATTTTCTGATAAGCATTTCCTCCATTCTCTTTTGCTGATGCTGAGATATTTTCATTGTCTCTGCAATGAGAGTCCCTGTTGCGCCCGAGAATGGTCATGTCAGCAAAAGTTGCATCTGTCCTTTGATGTAGCATCATACTAACAATAAACCAGTAGTTTAGTCTGATTGTGACTGCTCTGGTGATAGAACCAGTGACTCTCATTGGTTGCATGTTCTAATGTTCCATATCTATTTAACTGTGGTATATTTAAAAAGAATTCTTTTGTAGCATGTGGAATGTGAAATTGGACTTCTGCATAGAAGTGCCAATCAGTTTTATTCTACTGAAACTCTTGGATGACTTGCTAACTGCCCTTTTAGAACCTCCATAAGAAAAGAGCGAAAAATCTGATAAATTACTTTTTTCATTAACAATGGAACTTCTCAGTAAAGGTTTTACATCTTAAATATTGTTGTGTATAAATGAAGAATGACTCTTAATATTTAATCTCCCTCTATGTAATTCAGTCTAGGAGCATGATGAAGCAGAGAAGGGAATAATTATAAGTACTTACAATAAAGTTATGTGTGAAGTTCATCATGAGCAAAGTATGATCACTGTCATACAAAACAGATATTTGGCCAGTGCTGAGGTGTGTTTATGCCTTATCTATTTCTATGACACTGATCTATACAGGTAACCTTTTCTCACATAATTTCTTTTTGATAAATGTCTCTATCTTTTTATGAGAAAATTCTAGGGGTATATTGGTGATGAGAGGTAGGTTGGGTTAAAGCTTCAGATTTCCAGTGGTACATTTTAGCCAACGCTTCATTTCAGTTAAATACAAAGATACTTTCTTAAAAAATAAAGCAGTGGAAGCTGGAATCTCTGGATTCATGACAAATCAGTAGTATGTAATTTAAGGGGATTGAGAATGTTGGTTTTTCAGAAGATTATTAGTGTAATGAAAATGAAACACAGTAAACCCCCTATTCTGTGGGGAAAGACCCTGAAAGGCTGAATTCGAATAGGCTTCAGGCAGTTTGTCTAATGCATTGGACTAAAGCATATCAAAATAGAAAGCTTTAGTACTTCCTGATTTTTTTCTTTTCTTCCTAGTTCAAAAAAGCAGGCAGAGGAATGACTGAATAGAAGACCCAATATTAACAACTTATTATCAGTTAAGAAAATTGTGAAAAGCTTAAAGGCCCAAACACAATGGAAGCTGATTGAAAAGAACAACTTTGAGGAAGTATGAAAATGTTACAGTGTTGGTATTTTTGTCTGTTGTTTTTCAGATTGGTTTAGAAACATTAATTTAGTCTATTCCAAGTAAGTGGTAACTATGTCAAACAGTTTTCTGAATTCAGTTTTGCCTTTAAATGTGGAAGTTTTACAGCCCTGAGGCCAAGCTTGAATGGCATAAATCCAAAAAACCCCAACCAACCGAGCAACCAAAAAAGAAAAAAAAAAGTCAGTATGTAGTAATTTTTCTGTTTCAGTCCCCAGCCATGGCACTATGCTTTTAACTTATTCCCTCAGATGGCGTGTGTTGTTCACAGCATGGTAAGTTTTGTCCATCTCTTTCTACTATGCTGCTTGTGTATAACTTTAACATCCAGCTTTGTTGATAATGTGTGTGCCTCCTCTTTGGTGACAGAAGTCAATGTCTGAGTTTTCAGGGTTCCCCACTACCCCTCAGAGAAGTTTAAAGAATGTAAATATTACTTCAGCTTCACTGGTAATATTCACTTCAGCTTCACTGCTGTTTGTTTGATCATGCAATAATTATTCTGATGATGCTTAAGGGAAAAAAGAACTTGCACATGTGCCTCAAACACTGTAAAAGGGCAGTAAGCTCCCAAGAGGGATTTAAAATAAGATACAGTGATGATGAAACCTATTGGGAAAAAGATTCTTGAATAATGAGGTGACATAAAAAATGTGCCTGTGTATGAGAGAAAAAAGTGAATGAATTATAGAACTTGGTGTTGCTCATAGATGAATGATGTTGCTATTATGTTTATTGGTGATTAGCTAATCAAAAGGAAAAAACCAGCCTTTTGATTTAAGAAACAAGTAGGCAAAGGGCTAGAACATTCGGTGTGTCACATAAATGAAGGGAACACCTTTCTCAGTGATTAGGTTTTAGGGGATTCACTTGGGTTTCCAGGAAGGAGACTGAGTAAAATACGTGTTTGAGAATATGTTCGATTTCTGAATTGTGATACAGAAGCAGGTTTTAAATCCTGTTATAGTAGATTACTGTTGCTTGGTATGATAGTCAGAATTATACACAAATTTTGCTATTCCTAATCCTGATGATTACAATGAATTTGAAATTACATCAAAAAACTTCCCCTTCCACTTAACATAAAATTAAATTCCAACTGTAATAGACAGGGAACCTTACAAATTTTTGACAGCTGAATTTTCTGAAAGGTCATACTCAGTACAGATGGTGTAATTGTGAAAATTACAAGAGCTGAGGAAGACTGTCCTCTTTAGTCGTTCCTGCAGGTACGGGCTGTGCTGAAATAAGCAGCTTGCATGATAGAACAGGAAAGTTTCACCATGGTTCACAGCCTGGGTCCAGTGTGTGCCTTCTCTGCAAAGGTGTCAGTACTGCTCAGGGCTTGTACTTTCTGCATGATCACAAATGGAGCTGGTAACTGGTAACTGATGTGTTACCAAGGACTCTTGGCAATCTGCAAACTAGTCTTCTCCAGTCTGTCTATAGCTGTTGCTGGCTGCTGTCATGGAAGAGGATAGAAACTTGGGGTATAGCTCTTATTTTGACAGTAGACAATTCTAAAATATGCTGGAAAGCAGGAATGGGGAAGCAATTAGTTCCAGGTAAAGAGCAGAAAGTCAGAGAAGAAAAAATAGGAAAGCTGGCAGAAATAAAGTTCTTGAAAATAGTGCTGAATGTCTTTGTATATTTGTAAAGTTTTTTTCTTACCTGAGAGGTTTTGCAATTTGTATTCTCTGCCACCTTATGAGCTTTAATAGTTTCTCAGTGTGTGGTATGCCAGGGAGGAGAAAGCAGCCTACTTTCCTTCATTAGGTGGTATGTTGGACAGCATCTCCTCCATGTCTTTTTCTGGCACTGTACTGCTGCCTCCCCAGCTCAGGCTGGCAGTACCATGTGTTCTAAATGGGAAAAGTTCAAAGCTCCCAAACTTGAAAAGCCACAAGCTACCCAGCAAGTGCTTATGTTCCCATGCAGCGATTTTGCATGAGCAGTTAATGTATTGGAACTGGTTCACTGAGTATCAGCTGGAGCTCCAGGTATATGGGGGTCTTCCTGGGAAATACTGGCAGTTCTTTCATCTGCACAGGGATGGCTTCAGTAATGCTTTCTGTGCTGCAGCATTTTAAAAACACTTCCTAACAGTGCAAGTTGATAGGTAGCCACTGGCAATTACCTGGGTTGAGAAGATGAAGCTGATTCATATAAAAGTAACTCTTTATTATGCTTTATTCCCAATTTAGGAAGCTGTTACTTAAAATTAAGTAATTTTTCTACTCAGATGAATAAGTGATGAAATGGATGAGCTAAAGTGTAGCTTGATGTCGTAGATTTTTATAATTTACTAACACTGTAGGATTTAGCTAGAATACTACTACCATTATTCAGATAATCTGTTCTAAAGGGTTTTGTAAGTAGAAGTGAGGGTAAAAAAATAAAAAAAAGTAAAAAAAACCCAACAAACCAAACAGAAAACCCCAAAGAAACAAAGACTGAAACGAATTACTGATTCTGGTTGAAGAGACTATCTGGGATGCAGCAAGATTGGCATTCTGAACCCTCATCCAAATTTGCCAGCTGAATTTCAGATTGCCCCACATGTAACTAATCTTCAGCTCAGACTTGGTCTTGCATTGATCATTTGATGGAAAATTCTAGCTCAAGTCTTAATATTACATTCCGCAGTTGCCAGTTTCATGTTAGGCATCCAAAATTGTGTTCTCCCTCATTAAGCAGCACAGACACTTCAAAAATGGAGACAGTGATTTTTCCGAGTTCTCTGCTGATCTGTGTCCCGAGAGCCCAGCACTGACAAAACACATGCTTCCTTTTGCTCTTTATGTAGTTGTTCAGAGTAGAGGAATTTTCAGCTTAACCTGCAGGCAGTGTCTGGAAAGTGCGGTACTCGTCCATGCTTCTGGGCAATAGTGAAGACTGGGGGGATTATACTTAGTTTATGGGTACAGAGTTCACATTTGTCTGCTAGAATACACTTACCCCTCAACATTTCTTAAAGAGGATTTTGTAACATAACTTGGGCATGTTATTTTACGTCATATTTTTAAATGTCTACTTCTTTTGACCTCTAAAACTTTCTTCTGATACTATTTTTTCCTCTTGTTTCTGTGTAAGGGAAACTTGAGCAGCTTGCATGTTTTACCCTACTTTAAAATTAGAAAACAGTCTTTCCTTGCCATTTTATTGTATTAATCCATTTTCATTTGAAACCTGGTGAATCTTCTTGACTGATGTTTGCTTTTCCTAACTAAAGGGAAAAAACCCACCCGTGTTATTACAGCTTTGCATTCAAAACCAGGAGTTTGGCATATAAGAAGATGGAACACCTGAGGTAGATGTGGTTGCCATGGTATGTCAATTGTCAGATGAGGAAGATAAGACTGCTCTTGTTTAGAAGTGGTTGATCAAATTTTAAAGTCAAATATTTCATTTTAAGTGCTGGCTTGAAAAATGTTCTTAATTGACTATTTGCATAATTCTAGATAGAATGCACAAATAAAATGATGACTGAGAAGGTAGAAAGCCCCAAAGTTTTCTTAATATTAAACTCAGACCTCAGAAGGAGCAACTTCTTTACCATTAATTGAATGACACCAAGTTACAGACTTGGGGAATAAGTCATTGAGATTCAGCCTCAAAGGAGGTGTTTGAATTAGAAATCTATCTTTTCTGAAGTCAGGAAGTTGACTTTGTTCATCTGTCTTACTACATAATGACAGCACAGTGCTTGAGCATTAATAAAACCACCAAATTCCATTTTAATCACTTAAATGCAGTTAAAAAACTGTACTGTGCCCTTTACTCTTTGGATTTGGTTTCTTTTTTGTGAAACAAGTTTTCCTATACCTCTGAAACAAATGCACAGATATAAGTAAACCCTGCATGATACAAATTTGTGTTTTCATTCTTTCTACTCTCAATACTGTTATTCTCTCTCTACCTTATGCCAGCAACTGTTTTTCCCTTGAACTCTATTTTCAGACCCTTTTTTTGAAACTTATCCTGTTCCAGTGTCCCAGTGACTATTTGAGAATAAGATCTGTGCACCTTCATGCTTCACAACTTGGGTCTCCAGCTCTACAGTTGTTCTTTCACTAACTTATCTTTCTCTTGGATGGGCACCCAATTTTATCCCTCATCTCTGTGCATTCTTTACTTGAGTGCTTGTATTTCCTTAGGCTTATTTTCTTGTGTAACTGTCATTCCCATAATCTTTCAGTCTTCTGGCCAGGAATTAAGACCAAATAATAAATTCCTCTTTCTTGGTTATACTCGTGTATTAATGATTTGCCAGCTTTACAGAGATGATTGTTTAAGATGGAGTTAAATTACTGGAGTTGTGTTCATTATGAGCTTAGTGTATCCTGTTTACTGTGTTTAGGTTAAGAAACTGTCATGATACAGTCCCAGACTAACACAGCTTCAGTGTCCTGGCAGGGTGGTTTGTGTATCACTGTATAACACAGTACTGCAAATAATCTTGCTTTATTAGATGACTCCTCTGCAGTATGTCTTTTAACAACTTCACTTCAACAATGTTCTTCAGTGATGAAAACATTACTGATAACGCACAGGACTGTCTACCAAATCCTTCTGCAAAATTATTTCCAGTGGGACACTACCATGGAAAATAGAATACTAAAACATGCAGCATTTGAGCAGAAAGGTGATCCTGTAAATGTGCATCTTATAGCTCATTACAGTTGCCTGATTTTTTTTAAATTAAAGTGACTCTCATGAAACACACGATACTATAGGAAAGAAGATTCAGTACTTCATGATTGAACATTAGGGCCAGCTAGGGGGTTTTAAATGTATTTCACAAAATTTGTACAGAGCCATTTGCCCAGTGCAGTGTTCAGGATTAAGCATAATAATCCTTAGATACTAAAAATCCCAAACTTTCTTTCATGTATAAAGGAAACTTAATTGTCCAAGGAATTAGGAAAGATTTCTTGGGACATTAAAACTTGTCGGCTCACTTCTGGTTTCCATAAAATTTCTGCTGTGACAATGCTTTACAAATAAAGTCTGAAGGATACAAATCAAAGTTTAAATGGCCAGTTTCAGGGCATAATATTTCTGTATTCTTCTGTAACAGGTACCTTCTGAAGTGCAAACAGCTGCTTTTGTTTCAAGAACAATTAGTTAATTTAGTTGGTATTGTTTTTAGCAGGCATGAATTAATATTACAGCTTTTAATAAGAGCAAATTTCTCTGATTTTTTTTTTCCTCCTGATGAAAAGAAGCAGCATTGGATTTTTACTTCGTTTTTAAGGATTCATCCTGCATGCATGTAGATGCATGTGCCTCACCACTAAAGTCCACCAGGAAGCAATCTGTGTTGCCTGCAGTGCTCAGAAATACAGATGAGGGTTTTACTAAGAAATGTAGTACTAATAAATATCTTTCAGCTGTTTCTTGGGGAATCTTTTAGACCTCTGGCTGTTAATCCTTGTCCCAGTTCTTGGGGAAAATCTATTTTGCTTTAAAGTGCTTTATCTATAATCAGCTTATTCGGAATTAATCTCCATGCCCATCTGCAGGCTCTTGACAGACCGTAATTTCCCTTCCATCTCAATCTCGTGCCCAGAGGAATTGCACACTTGCAACTAGTAAAATTTTTGTTGTTTTCAACAAATGCAAAACTGCCACAGGAAGATAACATAAAGCTTTAAAACTGGGATGTTAATGTTAGGTAACTGTTGAGGAAAGGTAATGTTTAGTGGAAAGATCTTGCAGCCACTCATTTAGCTATGTCAGCCTTCAATGTTCAGAGTGTTTCAGCATTCAGTTTTGCGTATTTGGAAAGAAAAAAGTAAGTAAGATCAAACAAAATGAGATGGAGTAAAGAAGATGAAACGTTGTCCTATAGCAGTATTCCTTGTGGAATCAATTTTCAGTTTCCTAAGTGTGAGAAGGTGATATTTATTGTTGATAGACATTTGACAGTATCTTGAAATGCAAATACACAAGTACAAAGCTTTTCAAGCTCTTCAAGTGCTCAGATTTTCCTCACTTTATTTTACAGAGGAAGTATGTAGTCATGATTCACTCCGGTATTTCATTGCACATCCCCTTAACTAGAGATTTTCCTTTGAGTATTTCAAATGTTTTACAAATATTGAACAACCCTTTATGCCTGCAAGATCAACAGTTTTCAGATCCCATCTTTTAACCCAGATTTCAGATTATTTGGGGAGTGACTAATTCTCCAGAGTCACTCTGATAATTAGTGAAAGAATTGGAAATTACTTCTGTCTTCAAGTTTTTGACTACTTGTGTACGTTCCTTTGCTTCACAGTGATTCTTCTGCCTGGGTGAAAGAGGGATAGATGAGAGGTGTACAGGTATCTTGTGCTTTGCTGTTAATATTGACCCTGGTCAGAAGAGTTGCTGGCTTGGAGACTGTGAACAAGCAAGCCTTCCTATGGAAAGATTCTGTTCCAGTTGAGGTTTAGTAACCTAGATCTCTAGATCAGAATTTGAGATTGTCTTTCTTGTAGCCCCCTTGTCCAAATCCAGCGTGTTCTCTTTCTTGCTCAACAGCTGATGCTTAAGCATATGTGTAGCAGCTGTGGATTTGTGTTTTGTCTATGGAGTCTAGTGCTGTTAATGTGCTAAGTATTTAGGCACGTAATCTCTTCTGATAAATCCAAAGAGCCTAAGTGTAAGTGATGGGTTAATAGCAGAATAGCTGCTGTTGATTTAGAGCCTGTTACTTTGGTTTTCTTTTCCCCCTGTGCTCCTGTACAGTGATGAAACAGTATGACAAAAATTAAAAGATGAAGTTATAGAAGGTGAATGGCACCTGTTTTGTTCCTTTGCAGTAGAAAGACCAATTTGAGTATTTCTGTAATTTGTAGTGTTTCAGTGAATTTATATTTCAAAAATTTCAAAACCTTATGCTTTCTGTGAAATCTACTGGCACCAGGTTGACAGACCTAGTGCTGAAAATTTGATTGTATTTTGTTGCTAATGAGCATTATGACTGTTAATGCTGCTGTCTGTTGGGAATGCTATGGCACAACATCTTGTGAAGGCTTTGAGTCCTAAGCACTTAGAAGATGTGTTCATCAAATGCTTGGTTATAATTTGTAATCGAGTTTGTTTTGCTTACTTATGAAATCCTTCTCCCTCTGTAGGATGATAAAGTTAAATCTCTGCTCTTGAATTTGTTCTACTCTAACAGACTGATACCTGAGCAGGTGCTGAGGAATGATTGCTTCCTTGTAGTAGATGCAATTCCAGTTTCACTGTAAGCAGGTAAAGAGTATGAGCCACATAAAAAACAAGATTCTGAGAAAAGACATGAGGAAAAAAAAAAGTGATCAACTGAGGAGAACGGAGAAAACTCTACTTAACAGATGAGAAACTTTTCCATCAGGTGTTTGATTGAGACTTCTGGTTTTGTTTGGTTTTGAAATCATTGACCTGATCTGAAGTCTCAAAATATAAAAGGTTATGTAGGTGCAATCATGTTTTGTGATTATACAGTCTTCACTGTGTTTTCTTTTAAGTATATTCTAATTAAGTGTTTGGGGAGATAAGTGTGATATTACTCATGGTATTCTTAGTTTGTCGGCCTTTTTCTTTTTCTCTATGTAGGCTTTAAATTTAAAGAGATTAGTCTTGTTAGATGCCAGAGATCTTTAAGATGAAGCTTTAGTGAGTTGTTTTTGTATCCAGTTATCCCTCTTCATGCTCTGATTCCAGATAACATATTTCTCTTAAAGATGCTCTAGGGTTTTTTTGCTGGAGTTTTGTTGTTATTGCATAGACAAGTTGTTCCCACAGCAACTGCCTTCAGGATTTAAGGAAAAAAACCAGTGTACTGCTTTGAGAACTGGTGAAAGAAATGGTGAGCACCCTTCCTCTTTTCTGCCTTTCTGCTTTTGAAAAATGGAATTGGCTTTGTAGAGAGCAGTCATCCTTCTAGTTGCTCCTTTGCAGTGCTGCTGCCAGCCAAAATACTATACACACACATTAACAAAAACTACTGCTTATTTGCTCAACATCACTGTGTATATATCATCTGTTCTTAAATGTTGTTTGCAGTAGCTATAAAGGTGTGATTTTCATGAAAAGGTTTGTTTGCCGACAACACTTTGTTGTTGTTGTTACTATTAAAAGAGTTTTGTCAGCTCTTTATCTTTACAGGAAATTGTTGTTTATCTTTATGAAGGTTTTCAATGCTCCTCAGAAAGAAACTGGTCAGAATGCACAGTGTTGCTGTAGCAGTATATTTAGCCTCTGGGTGTTGCTCTTGGACAGCACTGTTGGCAGACTACTGTTTTGCAGAGGAATTACTGAAGCTGCTTGTTGTCGGATGAAGAATGTAAAAATGCAGTATGTAATAGGCAAGCAGCAGCACCAGGGGAATTGGGGAGTCCTCAGGTACAATAATACGGTCCACAGTGGATAGAAGACACCACCTTGGCAGACTGACCTCTGATATTAGACTTGGTTTTCTATCCTTAAACAAATTAGATTTCTTATATGGAATAGCATGTAAGATGTTTCATCCTCTTTTCATTAAATATAATTATTTTTTGAGTTTTGTAATGTGTGTATAACCAATGATAATAAAACCTTTGTTAAAAGTATTTTTATATAGAATTTTTAATTAATATTTTCATTACAGAAATCACACAGGAATAACACCTTGTCAGTGAATACGAACAGTTTAAAAGTTTTGTGGAATGCTTTCCAAATACTGATTGCAGTCTTTCACCATTAATAAAATGTTAACTTTAATTTTAATAAATGTTAAACACTGAAGAGAGGTTAGAAGACTAACCTGAAGGTTTGTATCATGCTGTGTAACATATGTTAGAATAAATTTTTGCTCAGTTTTCCCGCTTCAGAGCTCGTGCAACCTAGAGTGTACTTAAATCCCCAAATTGTTAACCTTCTTGGTTTTCTGAAACCAGAAGTCTCTGTGTATGCTTGATTAAAAAAAAAAAAATTGCAGAACCTTCAAAATCTCTTCACCAGCTGTAAGTAATATGAAACCTTTTGTTACGTATGAGCCTTTTCCATTTAAATTAAATGCTGATTACAGTTTCAGTGTCACTAGTTCTGTTTGTTTCTACTTTGACATTTTCTATGGTAATTTTGTAGCTCTGGTTTTCTTTTTATTTCTTACTTGCCGGAGGCCTTAAGAAAATAGGTTGGTTGAGGGTCATGTTGCCAAAGCTGAATACTAATCTATGGTAATGGACTGCCTGCTATGTAGTTCAAGACACAGCTCTTTCAACTGTATCTCTTATGGCTAGAAGGTGATACTTGGAGGATAGAGAGGGGAGGTTGAAATGATCCTATAGGAACCATCTGCCTTTTTTCTCACTTGCTGCTTCTTCTAAGAAGCCCAAAGGAAACCTGCCTCAGTCTTCCTTGGTATCAGCATTCTGCAGCTTTGAGCAGTGTCCTTGCAGAGACCAGGATGGTGGGGGCCTGTCGGGGGGAAGCAAGGCATTCAGTTGCTGTCATGGGCCCCAGACACTCATATCTTCTTACTTACTCATGCCTTTAATGGTAAACCAGCAGGTCCAGCTCCAGGTGCTGACAACTTTCTTTCATGAGGACTGTTATCTTCATTACTTGTGTTCTCTGTGCACTCACCTTGGTGTTCACCAGTTGTGACTTCATATCAGCCTTGGCTTTTACTCACAATGTCATGCCCAAGTCGGCTACTACCATTGCCTTCTAGGCTGTAGATCTGGTAACAAAGTCTTCAGACACCTGTCACCACTTCCTCTGCCTCTGCCTAAACTAGCCTGCAGACCTGGTATAAGGCTGGTTTTCTTTGGGAAGAGGCGATCTTTAAGCAGGTTGGGAGAACATCAACATTTCTTATCTCCATGGTTTGGGTGGAGCTGGGGGAACTACTCCTCTGGTTCTGAATGCTGCATCTCCAATCAGTTCTGGAGACTCCTGCTGTTCTGTTCACTGCCTCTTAATCTTCATGCTTACACTAACATCCATGATAATATTACTACATCTTTCCAAGTTGTTTGCTGCTCACTCCTTTAGTATTTAACACCAGTGCCTGTGTAGTTTTGAGAAGGGTTGGGGTGGGTGTGGTCTTTTGTACTTCAAAGCAGCTCTCTGCTAGTAGAGAGTCCTGCTTGTCAGCACTCACTAGTATTTTAACGATTTTTTCCCTGCAAGTTTGTATAGCCTGCAGATTGAATTATATTCCTTCATAGGTAATTGCCTCAAGAAGTTCCCCTAAATGAACAAAGATTGATTTAATTTGCAGTCACTTCATTTCCTCAGTTTGTAAGGAAACTGATTTCAAATCAAGAGTTGAGTAGCTTGCAAGTTGATGACTTTCTTGACCACAGTGGATGTTTGAGAGTCAAATCTTCATTCACATAATTTAAAACCCTCATGACAACTCTCCTCAGATTTCTGGGTGCGTACTGACAGGCACTAAGATCATGCACCATGCCACAGCTCCTGCGGTAGTTGTCTTGGAAAGTGCTTTTCCCAGCTGGCACACTACAGCTAGATAGACCAAAAACAATTGTCAAATTGTCCTAAAGCTGCTGTTATGACATGTGGTAGAGCTCATGGGTTCAGGTGCTGGATTTGGGTTTTGGCAGCTTTAGATTCAGGGACTGCAGTACATAAAGATCACACTGTGTGGAAGCCTACGCTAAAACCATTTGAATTGGATTTTTCTAAAATATGTTTTAGAATCCTTTCTGACTGGCATCTCTGTGTTAAAACTGTAAGGTATGTTATTAATATATGGGGAGAAACAAGATGTGACCTGCTGTGTGAAGATGTGATGATTTGCATTTTTTACCTGCTGTGTTACTAGTAGCCATTTAGCTGCCTCAGGCCCGTGGGTGAGAATCCCTTCCACTTGCTGCATAGCAGAGATGGGAAACCTTACCAAAACTCCCTGACACACCTTTCTTCACTGGGAACTTCCAGCTATTCAACTTCCTTGCAACTTTAACAATTGGTAGCATACTCAAGCAGACTGGATCTGTTCTGTCTCATCTTGACCAGCCCAGTGTGGACTAGAAATTTCTGATATTCTGAATATGGTATGGCAAGTTTAATAGCAGCCCTCTGACTTCTTTATGATCTCCTTTTCCAACTCTATGACCTGGTGTTTTGGCAAAGCCAAGAGATGTACCACCTGTCATTAATATACTGGGTACTGGCAGATTTGACAGCTCTGGAGAAAGAGTCCTTGTTTGAAGTGAAAGAAAATGGTGCACATTTTGGGCTTTAAGATGCAAGATTATATTCCTTTAGATGACTCAACAGCAGATTTTGCCCATGCCAGGTCTGTCTTTGGTTTTGTCGTCTTCCAGATGTGGCCTAGGATACCTATGCTGTAAAAGTGCATGTTGCAGCTTCATGATTAGTACACAGTGACATGTACTTAGTTCCAGGGCTGAGGGAACTCCAGCACTTACCAAGTACCCTGTGCATTGCTGCAGCTTGTCTTTCTAACTAAATTCTTGAGCACTTTTCTTCTTTCACTCTGGTAATAAAGTTTTTCTGTTGTTCTCAAAGATAGCCTCTTGTGGTGTTACCAGAACCCGAAAATCTGTGAAATGCAAGTTCTTAATAGTGTTGCGTAGCGTACGCTGTGGTGGATTAAGTTATTGTCTGCTCCCCCAGTCTTGCCCTGCCAAGGCAACAGTAGAGTAGACACAGGAACAATTCTAGGAGTTGAAAAAGAGTTATGTACCCGGTAGACAGTCTTGAAATTTTGTAGAAGGATTTTTAAGTGGTAATTAGCACACTTCAAATTTTTATGCAGTTTTTGTGTAACTGTGGTAAATTGCAAGCTGTGCAAGCCCTACCGGCTGAAATACTGAACAAACACACAAGAAGCCTTGTGCAGCCAAAAAGTCACATGCAATGTGAATGTGTATGGCCAGCACAACTCAGAGGATTTCTTTGTGTACAAGTATTTCAGTTTACAGGATCAATTTAGTCTCCCTCAGGAGAGAAACTAGGAGAATTCCTTTGGAGCTAATAGATTAAAGATGCTTTGGTCCAACTACTGTGATGAAAGCTGGGTGAATACTCCAAAGGAAAAGCCCACTGACCTCCATATCAGGAGGTGAAGACTGCTGGAATTGGAAGTTATTTGAAAAACTTTTTTTTTTTTCCTCATAGAACTTTGGTTAAAGTTGAAAACTGCTATTGGGAAATGCAGCTCTATTCCATAAGCAACTTCTCTTCCTTCTAACTTAAGATAACTGTCAAAATGGTGATTTCACAAAAGCAATGCCGCCCTCTCTTTGATGGCTGGTTGTGACTTGCAAGAGCAGTTAAGGCCACAGTTTCCAATGCATCTCATGAAAGAAAAAAATCTCAAAGTTGTTGT